CAATGAGACCTCGTCCCCCCCCCCCCCCCTCCCCTTTTGCACCTCAAGTCGACATTAATCACATCATCATCGATGATGTGATTCCATCACATCATCCAGGTTCTATTCTCCATGTGACAATAGATGGCATGGATGGAAAGAGTTCCTCGTGGACCGTGGATCACATTTCCTTCCCGTATTATTCCATGAAGCTTCTCTCATGCGCTCATCACGCGGGTACCGCGCCTCACCCTACCTCACGGTGACGTCAGGGTGAGCGACGCACAGGTTCGGCTCTCATCGTTCAGGTCGTATAACGTTTCGCATGCGTCGACGGGACCGAGCCACTGACTCGGACCAGCCTCGTTCCAATCGCCTATGTCCGAGTCTCTCAGTTTTAGTCGCAGAGCGACGGAGAGAGGATCTGGAACTTTCCGAAGTTCTAAAGTGACTTTTAAAGTTCTTTCCATCGATTCCGGATTCGACGAGCGGGAGAGGCGAGGTGCCCGGACAAGCAAGAACACAACGTTATTATGATATATAATATAGATATAGATTTAGTTATCGATCTCATTTTGGGATGGTACTTGCCCTACGTCGTCCTCTGCTACGTTCTTCTTCTACCATTGGTGCGGCTGTCGCCTGAAAAATCTTTGGACTCGTCGCGAAGCCATTTGAGGACGCGCTGCTTCGGCTCCTCTCTTTGCACCCACCTTGTTGAATTTCGGGTGGGAACGGAATGTCGTTTCTAGGCTCTCGAATGTCGAGTTCGGAAGCGGTATCATGGGCTTTCATGCGTCGATTCCCAGGAATGAGCATTCTTTGAATGTCGGTCGGATTCTGCTGCAGGAGCCGGTCGCTGGTCCTGGTCCAAGTCGCATGCTGATGCGACTTGGACCTTCTTGGCCTTGACTTGACCTTGGCCTTGACTTGACCTTGGCCTTAACTTGACCTTGGCCTTAACTTGACCTTGGCCTTAACTTGACCTTGGCCTTAACTTGACCTTGGCCTTAACTTGACCTTGGCCTTAACTTGACCTTGGCCTTGACTTGACCTTGGCCTTTTTTCAAACTTTTGCTGCGTCGCCAGGCTGTGCAAATTACCTTCTGCAAATTTTCAGCCGGTTTATGTTTTCTTTCGCAAGAAACTTGATTCCGCAGGGCTGTTCTACAGAGATCCCATCAGATTTCCTGATGTAATACTTCGTAAAATTTCCTTGAATTTTCGCTTATCATCCTCCAGCCTCGTTTTTTTTTCCTTCCCTCATTGACCTCTTCTAAGAATGACCTTAAGCGAAGCAGTTTGAATGAACAAATAACTGAAATGGCTTTTCATTTGCATCGCAACGACCTGGATCCTCTTCATCAGAACGAAACTAACCTGAACAAACGTATGGAACGTTCTTCCCAACGACCAGAGGAATGACTTTCAATTGACAGCGAGTTTAGGAGAACTTGATAAAGCCGGTACGGGTAACAATTCAGTTGAGTTCTGTCATGAGTACCACTGAGCTTTCATGCATGAAATCGTCAACGCGGAATACCCTGAACCATCACATGAAATACCTCACTGAACCATCACATGAAATACCTCACTGAACCATCACATGAAATACCTCACTGAACCATCACATGAAATACCTCACTGAACCGTCTACAAATTCACCCAAAAGTCATAATTGCAACGCATGCCAACCTATGACCTCCTCGCAACTTGTGCAGCGAATCAGTGGAGAGTCAAGGCGGGGAGGAAGCGGAAGGAGTTGAACGTGAAACATCCATTGACGCGTGGATATGGAGGCGAACCCAGTGCTTGGGCTCGGCCACCCCGTGGAAGGACTCATTCCCCTCTCCGATGAAGGTTCTTCTATTCTCTCTATCTTCTCGAATGCGCCACCCAAATACAAGGAGCCATCATCATCATGTGAGTGGGTGCAATGTCCCTCAGTCAAAGATCCCTCCCTCGACCCCCCACTCCGAGGCGACGGAAGATCAGGAATATGCGACAACTCGGAAAGAAGGCAACCCTTCTCATCGCGGGCGCTCCAAGACCGGCCACCTTCCTCTCTCAACAACGGGAAAACGTTGTAGTCTGAGGATCTTTCTTGAAGGTCGTGAGTTTTCCCCATAACTCGTAAAACTTCTTATGGAAGTGAATACCAGTCCATTGTTGTTGGAAAGTATTGTAAAAGGGGTTGGACCGGCTGTTTCTCTTGCATTGATTTCCAAGAGAGAAAAGCAATCAGGATTTTGTATAATTGGTTTTAATTCGGAGGGCGTTTTGAAACGTCAGTTCCAATAACATTTTCTATTGCATTTTTTTTTAATACTACTCTTTTTGGAAATACATATTTTTCGCTTTCTTGAATTACGTCCTAGTTACTCCTGCTCGAATTTGAATTGGCCCGGACCTGATTTCCTGAAAAAGAATTCATTATAGTGGTTGTTAAGGTAAAGGTTTTATTTTAACTTAATATTTGACAATTTTCATAAATCCAACCCACTGCGCTCCGTGCCCGTGACATAATGAAAACGAACACCTCCGAAAGAACGAAAGTTATGTTTCAACCATTTTTTAAAATGTTTTCTTGTTTAGAATGAATTTAAATTTCTGCTTATAGTGCTTTCGACTGCACCATTTTGTCGACCAATATGCGCAGTTTCATGGGATGCGTTGGGAAACATCGTACACGTAAATAATGGTGAAAAGAAGTTTATTTAAAATTCGTCGATATGGTCAAATTCCACAGTAGTGTCTTAAGGATCTTCTCCTTGCAAAGGCGGGAATCTGGTCTCGCCAACTATCAAACTTGCGCTCAAAGTTTACTGTTCTTTGAGGGGAGATGGTGCAATGGGAGAAATGTTGATGACGCTTTGCCGGTAGGAAGATATGTGCGCGCATGAAGACCCATCCCGAGAAAAACACGAAGAACATATGAAAAATATAGCTTTATTGCAAGACATGTGAGGAAGCAAAAAAGAGGAACCATAAATAAGCCCGAAAACCACTCCCATTCACGACAGATGGGGAACAGTGCGGATAGGGAGAGATAGAGAGACGCGATCAAATTCATTTCCAATCGCCAGGGGAGCCCCTCTCAGCGTCCGTATCCTCTGCAAGGGAACGTAAATAGTTCAAGGGATGATTTTAGTCATTTTAAGAATTATTAGTATCAATGTATGAGGTTTTTCATCTTCATACTCATATTTTATGGTAACATGAATGAGTGCATAAAAAATAATCTGAAGTAGTTGATTCATTTCTACACGTTTATCCTGTCGTTTTTCCGTCATTTCGTCGTCATTTCTCCTCACATCATATCCTTCAATAGCTTATTTTCCACGGAACTTTTGTTTCTGCAAAAGTCTCACCCGAAACTGGAGGAGGAAGAGGAGGAAGAAGAGGAGTACTTCTTCTTTTTGCACTTCTTGCACTTCTTCTTTCCGTACTTCTTCTTGCCGTAGCCCCCGCCGCTGCTGCTCGAGCTGGAGCTACTGCTGCTTGGGTACCTGCACATGCAAGGTAAGCAGACCTCAAGTTAAGCGTCACTGGCATGCGAATGGTTTTCGTTCGCACTTCGGTCAATTTTTTTTGTCAGCATTCAATACTATCTTAGTACTGGTACGAACGAAGTGGTTAAGAGTAAGATTAAAATACATATTAAAATTTTAAAGCTTATATTATGAAAGGTTTATAAGAAAAGGGGCTTATTCAAGAATGCGCAACGCTTAGTGCCAATAATAAAACTATAAAGCATGAATTCCCTANAAGTTTACTGTTCTTTGAGGGGAGATGGTGCAATGGGAGAAATGTTGATGACGCTTTGCCGGTAGGAAGATATGTGCGCGCATGAAGACCCATCCCGAGAAAAACACGAAGAACATATGAAAAATATAGCTTTATTGCAAGACATGTGAGGAAGCAAAAAAGAGGAACCATAAATAAGCCCGAAAACCACTCCCATTCACGACAGATGGGGAACAGTGCGGATAGGGAGAGATAGAGAGACGCGATCAAATTCATTTCCAATCGCCAGGGGAGCCCCTCTCAGCGTCCGTATCCTCTGCAAGGGAACGTAAATAGTTCAAGGGATGATTTTAGTCATTTTAAGAATTATTAGTATCAATGTATGAGGTTTTTCATCTTCATACTCATATTTTATGGTAACATGAATGAGTGCATAAAAAATAATCTGAAGTAGTTGATTCATTTCTACACGTTTATCCTGTCGTTTTTCCGTCATTTCGTCGTCATTTCTCCTCACATCATATCCTTCAATAGCTTATTTTCCACGGAACTTTTGTTTCTGCAAAAGTCTCACCCGAAACTGGAGGAGGAAGAGGAGGAAGAAGAGGAGTACTTCTTCTTTTTGCACTTCTTGCACTTCTTCTTTCCGTACTTCTTCTTGCCGTAGCCCCCGCCGCTGCTGCTCGAGCTGGAGCTACTGCTGCTTGGGTACCTGCACATGCAAGGTAAGCAGACCTCAAGTTAAGCGTCACTGGCATGCGAATGGTTTTCGTTCGCACTTCGGTCAATTTTTTTTGTCAGCATTCAATACTATCTTAGTACTGGTACGAACGAAGTGGTTAAGAGTAAGATTAAAATACATATTAAAATTTTAAAGCTTATATTATGAAAGGTTTATAAGAAAAGGGGCTTATTCAAGAATGCGCAACGCTTAGTGCCAATAATAAAACTATAAAGCATGAATTCCCTAAGTTGCTTCTGAATGCGAAAAAGAAAAAAAAACAGACCCTCTGGCGACAGGATCGGGACTAGCATGAGGATCGGCGACTGCTTTCGCTTCTGGATCTGCATCCGGATCGCCTAGCACGAGGAAGGCTTCCAACAACACCAGCAACACCAACCCGATACCCTGCTCCATACGCCAAGAAAGCGGAAAATTTAGCATATTCAAGTAGCAATGCCAAAATCAAAAGTATGACCAGTGACTCACGATGAGTTTCATGACGATCGCCGAGTGGAGTTCCTTGAGAGAGTAGAATGTGAGGATGGCAGACTGAGAATGCCAGCAGAGGGTTGGGGTTAATATAGGAGCGCGAAGACGGAAGGGGGCGGGAGAAACGGCGATTGCATTATGCAACGTAACCAGAGGGTGCGGATGCAGCAACCGATGTGATGGAGGAGGACGATAGAGAGGAGAGACGGGAAGAGAAGGGTTTTCCCGCAGTGGACGCCTCTCTCTTTTATCACTTTAGTTCTCCTAGTCCTTCCGCTAATGTAAGTTCCGCCTTTTCTTTTTTGATTCATGGTAGTTTTTATTTTTTGGTCTTGTGGGTGGCCGGCGTTCCTTTCGCGGCCTCTACTGCATCCGTAGAGGAGTTTTTTCCCTTTTTTTTAACGGGATTGTTAGATGGAGTGCAATCGCTGATAAATTTAATAGTGAAATTCGAGATGGTCAGGCCCAATTAATTTTTCAGATCAAGCCCAATTAATATTTGGTTAGTTCGTATAGAATGACCCAGACGTGGTTCTCACTTTCGTCGGTCTCTTCCTAATTGTGTGACGTGAATGACGCAGCAAATATGCAACATTCGGATTTCTTTATATATTGTTTTGCATACGTGAATGACAATGAGACGTTTGCGCTTGAGAAGGGCTAAATATGGCCGAGTAATTCTTTTGTTGCTGATGATGCTGAAGCCGAAGCCGGTCGCCGATCATGGTCCCCGTCGCATACTGATTGTCGGTCTTCTTTGAAATTTTTGCACCAGCCGTCCACACTCGCACGTGAGAGGCTTTCCTAGCCAAAGACACCATCCTGTCTATTCTGAGAATTATTGCGGGAATGGGACAGGTGAACCACCACACCTGTTCGGTCGGGTTATCACTCCAACTCCACAAAGTACGATTGGTCTGCGTTCAATAGAACGTCTTGCAGAAAGAAAAGCATCGGTCATATTTGAACCACCTACGTATATGAATTTTTGTGTAATTTTCTCCTCGGGAATCACCATTCTTCTTTGAATTCAAACCGTTTTCTAATATGCATGGTGATGAAAAGTCACTAAATATTCTGTTTGGTGCCATATAGCATATAGCACAGATTTAACTCAAAGAAAAAGCCTTAGCATGGCTTATCCTGCATCTCCGGATAGCTAAAAATCCGCCCACGAGAGAATAGCGTTCGCCACTCAGTGTCAACCGCGGTTGTCGGTCGATTCCACCGGAGTTCTCATTTCCATTGATGAGCGCGATGGCTTCTCCAATCCTTCAAAAACGGCCAGGATCAGTCAATAATAAGAACAATAATTTTTTTTCCTTGGGGGGGGGGGGGGGACAAGTAAAGATATTCAGAGCCCGAAGGTGTATTCCACTTTCGCCCCCGTAGGCTTTCGATCTCGATGCACAGAGGCGACTTTCCTAACGTTGATTTCGCGACTGATAACCACGTCTGTCTCAACCTTTTAAAAAAAAGGGAGGTAAGGTTACCTCCCAGTTTCACTTTCCCACCCCCACATAAGATAATTACCGAAAGTGACTTGGAGTGGATAGGAACTATTGTCCCTCGTGGATTCAGGAATCATTGTTCTTATGAAAAATCAAAATTTTCAGATGATGGTGTAAAATGCATAAATTAGGTCGTACGGCTAAATAAATGAATAAAAACTTGGATCTGAACGAACTGCTCCCGAAGGAACAGATGGTCTTACCAAATGACACCACGCAATACAGGGCTGCGAAAATTTTTTAAAGATCGATTTCGCGTGTCCGACATGGACGAATTTCCTGGAGATTCATCCAAGCCTCCCGGTCCCCCGCATTTCTTTTTTCTCCAGCACGACCAGCCGCGATTTCCCTTTCTAAGCCAAAGCCGCGAGATCAAAAAAATGTTTCGGCGGCTCTGCCGGGCACATGTCAGAATCCGTCTCGCCCAGATGGCGAAACTGGGAGCTGCCACCCCTCCTTAAAGGTCGAGGCAGACGTGGCCATCAGTCACGAAAATCGCGGAGAGTCCCCCCCCCCCCGCGCCCCAACAGCTCAGAGATTTAAATACCATCTTGCGATTCTTGTCAATCGGAATGCGAGGGGGCCGAGAATCCACTTCGCACCCGATTCCCATTACTTTCCGCCCTTCTCTGCAAATCGCATATAATTCCTCCTTCGCATTTCTCCCCTATCACTCGCTGCGTGCGAATGGCTTACAGGCGAAGCGGTTTAAACGGACAAGTAACTGAGATGGCTTCACATTTGCGTCACCGCCAGCCGCATTCTCTTCACCTCGTGAAAGTTAAGCCGAGCCGACTCGGAAAGTTAAGCCGAGCCGACTCGGAAAGTTAAGCCGAGCCGACTCGGAAAGTTAAGCCGAGCCGACTCGGAAAGTTAAGCCAACTCGTGGAACCTGCGGTTCAATGTCCAAGCTGCCGTCAGTTCCTTTTTTTGTACTTCCACGCCAGAAATGATCAAGGCGGATTACTATGAACCTTTGAATGAAATACCTCACCATGCCAACTTTGAATGCATCAAAGGTCATGTTGAAAACGAAGGCCTCCTAAAGGGCGCCAGTTTTATTTCACAAAGACCTTTTAAATAAAAAAATTTTATAATAAAAAATTGACATTTTCACTCACAGTGGCCATATTGTTTCGGCCAATGCTCGCAGTGTCATGGGATTCGTCGAATGGCATTTTCCTCGCATAAAAAGGGGGGGAAAGGAAATATTCTTTTACGAGAAAGTGCTGCTGCCAAAATACGCAATAGTTTCTCGAGGATCTTCCCCTCGTCGAGTCGGGAATCCGGTCAATATAAACAATAAAACTAAAGCTTCAAGTCTACTGTTCTCTTGAGGGGAGACGACGCAATGGGAGAAAAAGCCGATGATCATCAGAGAAGACGCATCTCGTGGGAAAAACAAATAAAAGAAAGAGTAGGTGAAAAGCATAACTTTATTGAAAGACATGTCGGGAACCAGGAGAATCACCATGACTAGCCCCAAAGGCCACACCCATCCATGACAGATGCGAAAACAGTGCAGAAGAGAGAGATCGAGAGATCCGAGCAGCTTCATTTCCCCACTCCGGGGGGGAGAGGGGGGGGGAGGGAAGGGAAGGGGGGAAGGAGGGGAGGGAAGGGGGGGGAGGGGGCCCTCATTCAGCGTCCGTATCCTCTGCAAGGCGAAGGGACAATAAAATACATGCTTATTTTCCTCGTATTAACTTTTGCTTGTGTTATTGAATGAACTTTTCAATCGACACATTTGCATTTTATATATTAAAGATAATGCTTGCTTTACAATCATCAAAATAAATATACTTATCAATTTCCCACAGTTTTCACTTCTCTTTTCTTACATCATATCTTTCAACGGTTTCTTCCAGAACTTCAACAGAAATTTTGCGTTAGTGAAGTCTCACCCAAAACTGGAGGAGGAAGAAGACGAGGAGGAGGAGGGGCGCTTCTTCTTCTTCTTCTTCTTCTTCTTCTGCTTCTTCTTCTTCTTCTTGCCGTAGCCTCCGCCGCCGCTGCTCGAGCTCGAGCTGCTGCTGCTTGGGTACCTGCACATGCAAGGTAAGCAGACCTCAAGTTAAGCAAGTTAAGCGTCACTGGCATGCGAATGGTTTTCGTTCGTGCTTCGGTCAATTTTTTGGTTCTGTATCTTTTCAGTCCTGGCACGAACGAAGCGAGGTCAAAGCTAAAAATCCGCTAAACAATTAGAACTTTAAAATAAAATAATGAAAGGTTTCTCAGATTGAAGTTATGCGAGAACGCGCAACGATCGTAAACAGATCTTGAATGCATTTTCTTAGCACTCTCTCGTTAGGAAAGGGAAGTAAAAACAGACCATTGGGCGACAGGATCGGGACTAGCATGAGGATCGGCGACTGCTTTCGCTTCTGGATCTGCATCCGGATCGCCTAGCACGAGGAAGGCTTCCAACAACACCAGCAACACCAACCCGATACCCTGTTCCATTCGGCAAGGATACGGGAAATATAGCACATATAAGTAGCAAAACCGAAATCTAAAGAATGACCGGTGACTCACGATGAGTTTCATGACGAACGCCGTGTGGAGTCGTTTGAGAGCGAGTGGACTTCGAGGATGGACTGAAAACGACAGCGGAGGGACGGGGTTAATATAGGGATTCCAAGACGGAAGGGGGCGGGATAGGCGGCGATTGCATGATGCAATGCGACCAGATGGTGCGGATGCAGCAGCTGATGAGAGGGAGGAGGACGAGAAAGCGAAGGGACGGAGGAAGTGAAGGGCTTTTCCCCCCCCCCGCTCGGACGCCCCTGTCCTTACTCGAGTCCATCCTGTCGTTCCGGCTGTGTGCTTCGCCTTTTCCTCCCCGATTTATGGCCGTCTTCCTCGTTTCGTCTTGTGGGTGGCCGGTGTTTTTTTTTCCCCCTCTGCGTTTTTTGCGGGACTTTCACGAAAACGGAGTCGATCCGAGAAATCGAGAGATGGGCTCGCGGTTCGCGCCATGTGGGACCGTGGCTCGCCCAGCTGTCAAGGCGATCCATTCCGTGGGAACTCGACGTTAATGGGCGGAAAGTCCTGGCACGCGCTTTCCCGGCGTCTAAGTAAACAATAAACAACAACAACACAACAAAAAAACATGAAGTTCGTCGAGTAAAATGTCCTAATTAAAACGAATTTCGGCAAAAACTCGACAATTTTTTCTCATGAATTTCGGATTGATTGATTATTGATAGTGTTCAGCCGAACTATTAAGAATATGCATTTCTCATTTAAATACCAACCGTTAAAAAAAAACCGGCTCAAGTTACTAGTCCAAATCACCGTTACTCAATAGTCAATCGTTAGCGTTACTCAAATTAAGAACATTTGAGGCTAGGTCAGAAATTAGGTTAATCTAGAGGGAGGTTATCGCCCTCTTTTTTTTTAGATGGATAATTCGGGCAAATGCCCAAATTTTGCTAATTGATCCCAAGGGAACGGATCATTGGATTTCGATTAATTAAATTAATCGATTAATTAAAGATAATGAGGCTGCGAAGACGATATGGTTCGTCAAACATGGTGGACCAACGTTTTCAAGTTGCGACAAAAAAAAAAGGAATTTTGATCGACTCCAAAATTCTCCAGGGAGGCTGCCGAGAGGTCGCCGAGGGGTTGCCGAGGGGTTGCCGAGGAGTCGCCGAAGGGTCGCCGATGTCCTTCAAAGTCTTCGTGAACCTTAAGGACCGAAATAAAAGATGCTGATGATGGAGAGGAGGTGCCAAATTTGGAAAAAGAAGTGTCGAAATTGCAGGAAGAGAATCGGAGTGCTTTCTAAAACGAAGAGTAGGCTGATAAGAATTTATTCAATTTCGTATTATATATATATTTTTTCCGCTTCCTCGCGGGAAGGGGATCCCGCCGCCGTTCGCCTCTGCCAGTCCCCGCCGCACCGAACGAATTCGTCCTCCCTTCTTCCTCGAAAATTCAATTTTTTTCATCTCATACTTTAATTCGAAGGACCCAAGAATTGTCGCGAATGGATGTCACCCCAGCGCGCGAGGCGAGGCAATGTCGCTTCGGGCCAAAGGCCATCCACCTCTCAAAGCGCCAGGTCCATCGAACTATATCGGTCTGGACCGTAGGCTTCATACTTCGCTGTGTCAAAGGGTGGTAATATCTGAATGAGTGTCACGTTTTCACTGACTGCAAGTTCTTCATTTGAATACATTCTTTGTTCAAGTGATTTTTTTTTCTGTTTGCGTTTCAAAGTCGAAATAATGGTCTAAAAAGTCTCTCTTCATATGTCGCGCAAACGAGGTGCACTTCCCATCAAAATGGTGGCGATTTTTGCGAGGTGAGGTTGAACGCGAATGAGAAATGTTGAAGGAGGTCCCACAGGACGGCGATGAGGCAGTTGTTGCTGGTAAGAAACGGTTGGTGCTGGCGCGGAAACAACGTTTGCCACTGCAGTTGCGATGCGAAGTGCCTAAATCGGTGCTAGCCGTAATGGCCAGAATCAGTGATGAACAGCAAGCAGATGTGCGTAGGGCCGCTGAGACCGCTGAACAGCGAGAGGCAGCGAATGCTGAGCTCCGGAATAAGAGAGCCATGCAGCCTGCTGAGCAACTTGATGCAATGAACGCTGCATTCAGGTGTCGAAAGCCGGGGGGCGGCCAGGAATTGAACCCGGTCCTCCTGCTTGTCGGTCAGGTGTGCTACCATTACACCACGGAATTCGGGACATGTTAGGCCTCTCCATGCCATCTCAAATCACTACAGTCGTTTGCGCAGCGACCACTGTCAGGCTGTACATTTTGATGTAGGGAGGAGGCATTTGTTTCACGACGGAAAAATGCTCCTGCCGCAACTCACTTTAGCACCAGTGAGCAACACTTTCAGAGCCTTAGGGTAATGTGGTGGCGAGGCATTTTCTGGAGTTAGTCGCTAGCATTGTGTCGCACATGCACTAAATTCCCTTTGTGCCTTCGAACAAGTTCTTGGAAATGGTCCGTACTGTTTCAGAATCATTGGTGTCTGTACTATATGCTAACGCAAATAGCACATGAGCTAATCGGTGATGCAAGAGTATTGAATATGATAGGGAGACGAAATCAGCAAAGTCGTCTTGAGTCTCATGGAAACGTGCTAAACCGTTCACAATGAACGATTGCGGCAATCAGCTGGAATATCGTGATGATGGTGCTTAGGAACAGAATCTCCCTGTGTACTGTAAGCTACAAGTATATACATGTAATGAAGCGGTTCAGTTCCGAATGGGAAATGAGGTGAACAGAGGATTGTGAAGGAGACGTTATGCTCACAATAGACGGTTCAAATTTCCACCTATTAGACGGCCAGCGTAGCGGCCGCAGGCCGCTAGTCTTTATTTTATTTTCAAAGAACCCGAGCTCCATAAATGTTGGATGCAAACGAACAAAAAATTCAATGTCGAATTTTTGCATTTCTCATATGCTAATTGCATTAGAATCCATCACAGGTCGGAATGACGACCCGCAGATGATACAAGCCCGTTCCGCTCCATCGCGCGTGAAGTCTGCGCCGCACTAAAGCGATCATAGAAAGTCGCATCATATTGTCCAACAATATCCTCTTTTTTTTTCCCATTCCCGAGAACTTAACGCCTCTTTCGCTGAGCCGTGGCCGTGCAAAATTCGGCTGCACCTTAAAATTTTTTTTTTATCCAAAGCCAATTTATTCTGCTAAAATGAAAAAAAAGATTTAATCTGACTTTAAAATAATCAGCGAATTCGGAAGAGGAGGTAGAACTTGAAGGTCTGTTGAAATCCCTTCAATTGGAAGCAAATTTCTTGTCGCAATTAAAAATTTGCGATCGCACGATTTACGATAAAATCCAGCCATTTTTTGACAATTTTACTCATTATGTTGGATGAGTTAAATCCAAGCATGTTGCTTGACTTAATAATATATATATAGTGTTTCATGAACTTTTTCGATCGAAAAATAATTTCATGAGAAATGCATGATTTGACATTCATCTCAGTGCCGAGATCGCTCGGTTTCGATTCGTCGTAAGTTTCACCATTTAAAACAGAAATTACTTGGGAGTCCGGAGCGCCGTAGCGTTCGCTTGGACGGCCGGAAACGAAATGGCGGGACAGTAAGGAAGACGATCATAAATTGGAGCGGAAAAGGCGGAACACGCGCAGCCGGAAGAACGGGAGGACTCAGCAGGGAAGGGCGTAAGTGGGGAAAACCTTCACTTCCCCGTTCTCTCCTCGCTATCGTCCTCCTCTCCTCCCATCAGCTGCTGCATCCGCACCATCTGGTTGCATCGAATGATGCAATCGCCGCCTATCCCGTCCTCTTCCGTCTTGAAATCCCTATATTAACCCCGTCCCTCCGCTGGCATTCTCAGTCCATCCTCGAAGTCCACTCGCTCTCAAACGACTCCACACGGCGTTCGCCATGAAACTCATCGTGAGTCACCGTTCATTCTTCAGATTTCGGTTTTGCTACTTCGACGTGCTATATTTCCCGTATCCTTGCCGAATGGAGCAGGGTATCGGGTTGGTGTTGCTGGTGTTGTTGGAAGCCTTCCTCGTGCTAGGCGATCCGGATGCAGATCCAGAAGCGAAAGCAGTCGCCGATCCTCATGCTAATCCCGATCCTGTCGCCCAATGGTCTGTTTTTACTTCCCTTTCCTAACGAGAGAGGGTATTAAGAAAGTTCATCCAATATGTCTTTCTAATCGTCACCGAGCGTTGCCCGTTGCCGCATGGTCTTGTTTTTTAGAGAAAACTTTCAGAATTTTTATTTTTTAAGTTAATACATATTTGGTATTTTTAACTGACTAGCTTTTGCCTTGGTTCACTAGTGTCGATACTAAGCCAGACAATAAAAGTTATCTAAGGCGCGAACGAAAATGTCGCATGTCGCAGCGAAGCTTAACTCGGGATTTGCTTCTTTTGGGACCTGCAGGTACCCAAGCAGCAGCAGCTCGAGCTCGAGCAGCAGCGGCGGAGGCTACGGCAAGAAGAAGAAGAAGAAGCAGAAGAAGAAGAAGAAGAAGAAGAAGAAGCGCCCCTCCTCCTCCTCGTCTTCTTCCTCCTCCAGTTTCGGGTGAGACTTTGTGGGAACGAAGTCTTCGTTGAAGTTGTCGAAGAGGCTGCAGGACGCTTGTGCGAAGGAAAACAACAAAATAAAATAAAATAAATAAATAACTTCATTTAATAGAATAAATTAATTTTAAAGTACACGTTGAGTTTTATACATAAATATATCAATACGTAAAAATTCATACATTAATGCCAGTAAATCTTCAAATGATTGAAATAATCTTAATTCTGATCCCATCGCCTTGCAGAGGATACGGCCGCTGATTGAGGCTCCCCCGCCCCGCCCCGCCCCGCCCCCCGGCACCGCTGGACGGGTCCCTCTCGCCGTCTCCCTTCTGCACCGTTTCTCCATCCGTCGCGGATGGCTGTGGCTTTTTGGGGCTAGTCATGGTTCTTCTCTTCTTCCCTCCCATGTTGTTCAATAAAAGATCGGTTTTCTCCTGATTTTGCTTTTCTCTTTCGAGAGAGAGAGGAATCCGCGTGCATTGAAAGCGTGCGATTTGCATCGTCTTCACTTGATACACAATACACTTAAGATTTGAGGCTCGATGCTGGCAAGACGGGAAGGAGCACCGGCGAAACACCTACGGAAATTAACCATGTAAACATAATTAAATGAAAATTTCTGTCCTTCCTTTAGCAGGATTTGCAACGGAAACATCGAATTCTTTAAAAACGATTGCATTCATACTTGCATTTTTGTCAACGGGCTGATTGAAATTATTTAACTTCTTCACTAAACAATTTTTTTTTTGGCGAGTTAGGGGCCATAATCTGTCTTCATGTACATTATGCGCGAAAAGTCACGATATATTTTACAATTGTACTGGCTTTTTCATTTTTGGAGAAAAACGACTTTCTTTTGAAAAAAAAAAATTCAAATGGCTTTTGTGTCGAAAGACACAAAAAAGAAAGACGAAAGACACACAAAAAGACACAATTGGGTTTTTATGACATCATTGATCTGTTTGTTTGCATAGCAACTGCCGAGCAGTTATTCGAGCACGAATATTCAAATTTTTCTTCCTTCGCCATGGAGGGTTGCTGCAAACGAACAATGATGATATAAAACCCATTGAAGTCTCTTCCTTTTGATCCGCTGAAGTCCAATATTTACGAAATGTAAGAAAATTTTTATGCATTAAGTGACGAGTAAATCTGTGCTTCAACAGCTATCGGAACCGCTTTCAGCAGTTTCATCTGAAGTGGACTTCCTGTTTTCCGTGTTTCTGAAGCAAAAACATAGGCTCACTTCTGAACGTACATGGAGGGTTTTCTTCATTCGTTTCCCTTTCAGTCACAGAGGTGTTTAGAAACACATGCCTGGTTCAACCAGTAGCAGGCAGCCACAATTTTGGAAATAAATTTAGGCGCTCCTTGGCAACATTAAGGGCAACTTAAAACTGTGAAACTTAAAACCGCTTTAAAGAAAAAAATCGCAAAAAATAATGCCGTGACGCAGAGGGATAAATTCCAGTAAGGTAATTTCGGCAAAAACACAAGAGCATTTGCTGGTGAGAAGAGCATAGTGAAAAACCCACACATGCTGAAATATTAAGTAGATTTATTGAATACTCCTCCAGAACCTCATCACATATATCACAGGACAAGGAAGACACGAAAATGCATAGATTCCCGAGGCAAAATAGAATGTTCATATCCCCAAAGTCATTCTAATCAAGAGTCTCCCCTTCTATAAAAAAGAACACCGGACGGATATAATGCACCGATCCGAATAGAAATATCAACACCGGACGGATATAATGCACCGATCCGAATAGAAATATCAATGTCAAGAATAAAAATCTGTCACAGAGACGGATCACAGAGGAATGCCAGATGAAACACGATGCGGACAACGAGTCGGCTTTACAGACGAGCCCGGGGCTGAGTGACCTCCTTCCAGTAACTGGGACGTGAGAACACTCCTGGAAACTGCAGGTATGAATTGTAGATGTGCTCATATATCTGCCAAAAAAAAGGAACATCTCTTTCAATCATCACTGATAAGGAGCACTGCCATTAAAAAATCGCTAAGACAGTCACATGTACACCATGCTTATTATTACAGGTATTACTACGACACATTCACGACAAGGTAACATGCAAAGCATATCAATTTGAACCAATGGACAGATGGATCACTGCAGTCCCTTTCAAGAGAAATTTAAATGGAGGAGTAGGAGGCAGGTGGGATGGAACATGAATCAGTTTCACAGGCCTTCAGACATAGGCAAACATCACTGCCATGGGGGTGGGAAAGAGGGACTACCAGCAAATATCCGAGATCGATACAACAGACCGACAGATTTTTAGGGTTTATCAACCTGTGGGAAAGGGTCTTGCTAGGCCATTAATCAGCAGCAGTTCCCTTTGATCTGGGCCTCAAGACACTCAACTGTTTCTTTAGCTTAATTAACTCCCTCCAATTTCATGCTTGAACAGATACATAGAAGTGACAAATATTTTAAGTTATGAAAGATGCAATGAGCCATTTGGCAGGTTGAGACCTGCCAAATGAAAAAAAAAAGGATGGTTCAATATCAATACAAGGACTCACTTTGCCATCTGCATTGCCCAGACAAGAGTTGAGGGCAAAGTCTGGAATGCCAAAGACATCAACCAAGGCAGCTGCATCATCCTTGAGTTCGTCACACAGACGAAGGATGTTCCGCTGGATCAGTCCTTCGGGATCCTCCTCCTTTCTGCAGTATCCACCTATAGAGCGAAGAAAGTTACAGAACTGGCTCATCTTCCAGCTGTCTAAATCTCAGGGGTGGCAAATAAGAAAAGCACTATCCATGAAGCAAATAGTAATTCGGATAAGAAGTAGGTCACTTAATGATGCCTTTTATTTCCAAATACAATGACAAATGGAAGACAGATGCTTTTCTCAACTTCAAAACAGTAATTCATTACTCACTTCAACACAAAGATTCTTCAATTGGCTGAGTTTGAAATCGCAAGAGTGAAGTTAAGTGATTCCTCTGATTGGGAACTTCCAAATTATTATTTTAAAGCTAGGATTGCATAGCAACATGAATATTAAAAAACCAGCTCCAAATGAAAATATATACTTCAATTCAGTATCTACACTGCAACCAGTACACCCACTGATGGAAACGGGAAGTACTTGGATAAGTGACGGTATTGCATAGTGCTTCAGGCTCACACCAAAACAGTGAGATGCAAGAGCTCTAGGGATAATGAAAGAAAAGACCACAGGAAGAAGACTTGAGATTTCATTTAGCTTAATTTAATGAATCTAATATTAAGCACTGTAACTCCAAAAAGAAATTTGAAGCATTTTGCAGCATAGTGGAGTCATCAATGATTACCACATGACTCTTACCAAGGGTGAAGTGTTTAACCTAAAGCATTGATGAAGCACCAATGCAACCACACATCAATTGCATCATGTTCCTGTTGAGCAGTGAACCAATTGACCATCTTACCACTTTCCTTACCACAAAACCAAATCAGAAGGTTCAAAACAATCCAAATCCATAAATTACATCTGAATGCACCCCAACAATAAATGTCAATTAATAAGCCTGTTCTTTTTCTTTTTTACCATAAAATAAGAGTGAAGAAAATTAAATTATAATCAAAGTATGAAAATCATGAAAAAAGTGATAAAAATTAACTCCAAATACTAGAACTTTAAAAAAATCTGCCAGCAAATGGAATCATCAGAACAAATACAATATATTGCATATTTAAAAAAAAAGAGACCCTGATGGGACACACCTTGAAATAGGGTGGCAAGGTGCCGCTCAAGGCAGGTGAGGGCAAAGAGGGATTCGAGGCGTCGAAGGACGAGCAACTCGTTTCCTCCTGCTCCCGAATTCTGGATTCGCTCCGCGAATCGTCGCATCACCTCACCCTGAAAACAAGACATTCTCGCATGAATGACACTGATTAGGGAAAAACAAGAGGTCAAATCCATTTATGCACACAAGAACCTACATGCCATTTCCTTGTTCCCATAAGCTCTTAAAAGTCAACAGCGGTCTGCACTAAAGCATGCCTTCTTTCACTACTAAAAATTACTATTACCACTTAAACATAAACTGATACGATGACTCATTAACTGATGTCAGTATGATTCAAATTGCACAACATATGAAGTAGATTGGACAATAGAAAATTGAGACGAGGAAGAGCCAAGGGTATGAATGATGCATATCGGCATGTTTTATAGAATCCAGTTCCTCTAGCTTCAAATCTTCCTTAATGCAATCACCTTTAAAAGCCATGCAGTGCATACTAATGTAAATACAGTCAAAGGTAAGGTGGAGAAACCCTACTAGACTGTCATTCTTGAAACCTTATGGTTTATTGGATCTCTCACATAGAAATTTCTAGAAGTCCCAGTCCAAATCAAGAGTTGTCTTTATGCATTTTAAACAACATATTAGTTCTCTTTTATTTTGTGTCCATTCACTAATATGCCATAGACAAGACTAATATTTCCTAGACAAAAAAAAGGACAAAAAAAAAGAGCTTTCACTGCCACTTAGTTTTCTCCATAAGTGAGTGTCCAATCAGGTCTATGCTTCCAGTCTCAACCTGTGAATACCTCCAATGGAAGTCAACTTTCTAAAAGCAATTCTGGCCTTGAAAACAAAATGGGAGCAAGAGGAAAGTGAAGAATACCTCAATGAAGGCCAGGGCAGCATCATGTAGCCCATAGACCTGGGAGTTGGACCGCGCCCAGAACGCATCCCGTTCTCCACCCGAGGCTAGCTGCCTCTCACTCTTCTCCAGCAGCTGCACCACCAGCCACTCGTATGCCTTTCGCACTCCAACTGAAAAGAAATGGAACGTGTAACCAGCAGCAGAAAGTCACTTACCCACAAATCAATTATTGGCAACATCGAGTGCCTTCAAATTATATACAGGGCATTTCAAAAGTCACTTTCAGTGTTCAGAAGACTGCCTCAAGGAAACTGATGGACACCACATTGTTACATTTTTTTGTGCAGACCCATTTGACCATGTGGGTTAAAACAATCAGTAATTCCTAACCTCCATGAACAGCAAAAGTGACTTTTGAAATGCCCAGTAAAATGATCCATATATACATGGTGTTTCATTAGTCAGTTTACCAAGCGGTTTTCAGCTATGCAAAATTCTCTTTAAATTCGTTGTTAATTTAAATGCCAGGAATACATTTTTAATTATGCATCTTCCTTCACCTAGAATGAAAATAAAAACTCGTAACAATAATGGCAATTAATAATGAAACAAAATCACACACATTAATTACATTAATTTAAGTAAGAATAGCAGAAAATCCCTCAGTAAACAAATTTATAGAACACCCTGCATACATATGGTCACTAAACACAAGCTGGTGATATTAGGCAGATTCATTGATGGATTTAGAAAAGTTCATATTTAGTAATATAGGCATTAATTCAAGTGATGCTAGTTCAATCTTTCATCATTTTGGCTTGTGGGAGCAGAATTTTCCATGCATTAACCATTTTCCAGTGTCAATTTTTTGCTAATCCTTCTCCCACTGTGAATGTTTTCATAAGTAAATGCACATTTCCATACTGAAATGTACTCTAAGGTTGCATGAATAATATATTTAAAAAAATACCACTGCCAGAGATGTCTTAGTTTAAAAAACCTACCCAAGGAATACTATATGTTTCAATTAGCATGTCTTCCCAACACCTTAAATTTTCCAGACAAAATGAATATAATTATGGCGCTTTTTAAGTTAAAAAACAAATTCAGCACATTTACAATATAGTGCACAAGGTAGTGCATGGAAATACTTCCAGGTAGCTATCTAGTACCACAACATCTAGTAGTTCACTACATTCATTGGCATTTAAAATTATCAACAATTGAAACTCATAAAGAATTATTATTCAAGATAATCAGCATCCCAAAAGCAAAATACCAGACCAATCCACCACAGCATGAAAATAATAAAATTACCCTACACTATGAAAATGTGATAGACTAAATTGGAAAAAAAATGTTCACCAGCACAGAGATGAGGTTGAGCAAAATCCTTGGGGCAGAAAGTCTCCACCTTGATCTTGGGAGCACGAGAGAGAAAGGCCACAGAAGTGGGGAGAGGCACATTCTTCTGACCCTGCTGGATACCCTCCCAAACGAGGAGAAGGAAATTGGACGTCTGTTGAAGAAGGACGTTGTTGTCCCCCTCATATGTGCAGTTGCCATCGTTGTCCTCCCGAAGGATCCCGATTCCGGCCGCCCGGAGGTAGCCGTGCCCCCCACAGGCCTCACGGCATTCTTGGATCGCATCCTGAGCCCACCAGCTTGCCAATGGCTTGCCCGCTGATGAAATCCCATGTAGCTCAGCTCCCATTTGTGTCTATGGTAGGGGAAGAAATCCATCTAACTATATAATCCAGTAGTATAAAATTCACCATAATAAATATAGTAGCTTATTTTGGATAAGGTAAGGACTCTGAACAAAATGAAAAAAAAAAAACCCATTGCAGTGACACTGCAAGGGATGACATAATTATGAACTCTGCCCTGACCTCTTAGCAAAGTTCACCACAGGGGATGCAATAACACTAAAACCACTCCCCGAACAGTTTCAGAAGTTGGTGAACCTATGCTGACCTGTGCTATGTCGCTAGCCCAGTCTCAAACCAAAAGTCCCTTTGTATTTGAAGGAAGTTAGATATGGCTTCTTCCAAGATGTAGACCAAAGAACCTTCTTTCTTTCTATGTGGCATACGCTATAACGTGAGATCAGTTTTATCTTTTGAATGTTTGTGCTACAACATCCAAAAAAAAAATAGGCATTTTGGTAAGTGGATGCATGGTTGGTTTTCTGGAAGGTTTGCTGTCCGGAAACATTGCTGAACATTTCAGAAGTTCTACCATGAAATTGGGTAAGACACTGGTTTGATTAAATTAGTGCAAATGAGAGATTTGTTTGAGAATGTTTATTGTGTGAAGCCATTGCACATGCTAAAATGAAAGGCTGCACAAGGAGGAACTTTACTGTACAAGAAGATCTCAAGCCATTCTCAAGGTCTGTTTTCTTTTCAAATTTTATTTACTTGTTTTGAATCAAAAAGACAGCAGCCCTGGACTTGCATCAAATGAAGAAGGGAGACTCACAAGTTGTTCCTTGGATGAAGACCCAGTCATGAGCTGAAGCTGGAACTCCATGAAGTCATCAAAGAAGCTGCTCCCAAATGCCTGCAGGGCATATGTTGCCGACAGGTAACGTAGCAACCGCCACCTCTGCAAGGACATGACCATAACCATCAGATTTATATTCATCATTTGTATTCATTCTGTTTTTCTTATGGTATCTTGATCATATCACTCACTTTATCAACTTCATGAACACTTCTGAAGTTATTTTTCCTAAGTACAAAAAACTTCCAAACTAAGAGATCACTTCAAAGCAATGATGCAGGAAGAATTTATATAGTTTTTTTTTTTAAGAATTTAAGAATCAAAACTACACAAGATATGAGTGAAGGGAAAAAGGCCAAATGGCATCCACTCCCTTTGGCAAGGATAATTCTCCTGGCCTCTCTCTCCTCAGACCATTCAAGAGCAGGATGAAGTTTTTGTGGTAATAGTCTGAAACTCTTGACTTTCATCCTCTTACTAGCAGAAACTTTCTAGCTTCCACACCTCCCTCCACTTTTCAATGATTGACTGAACAACATATTACCGGGTCAGATAGAAAGAGGCATTGCATTATTACCTATGGAGACTCATGGTATTATTACCCTGTAACCTGATCGCTCACCCATAGGGATTATGTGTATACCAATCAATTTAAATTTTGATTAGTGTTAAGGTCCACAAAGAATTCCTTACTATTGGTAAGCTTCAAATGTTTCAGATGCACTTCAAACTGCTGCATGAGTTTCCAACAGATAACGGATATCCCCAGAGCATAGGATTTTCCCACCTGAAGCTGATACTCCCAGACTGGGACCTCTACATGAGACTGGGGACCGAACTGCTTGCGGGCACAGGAATAGCGGATCGCAATGGTGAGGGCCTTCTGCAGGTTAGCCGTAGCCATCCACACGATTGCCACTCGTCCCAGGGACAGGTTCCCCAGAGTTGCCCCTGTCCGATCAGAATAAACGAGACAGCTAGAGACATGTCCAAAATTGTACATGCCAAATGTCTTAAATTCACAAAGATCACAAAAGAACATCACTAAGTAAATTTAACAGCCTTCCACTAGCAATCGGCGTCACATCCCACGTGTATTGATGGAATCCCATGACTTGCATTATTATTATCTATTATCTGCATTTCCCTTATTGGCAAAACTCATTAAAGAAATCTCAGCAAAGAAGAGCATCAAAGACCCCACAGCGTACAATCATCTTCAACACGTGCTCACCAAAGCGCTGTCCAGGGTTCTTGAATGGAGAAACGTACATCCCCTCGGGAGTCACATCGCCGACTCTGTTCAGCAGGTTCTCTCTGGGAATGCGCACTCCTTTCATCTCCAGAAACCTACAAGCAACAAATGAATTAGCATTCATGAGCTCCTTTTTCTTGCACATCCATACATCCACCAAGCAAAAATCATTTATTACAATTAGTTAATGAGATGCAATAGTACATTTCCAATTAATGAATATATGTCAAACAATTGCCCAATCAGATAAAGCAGAGGACAAAATGAACTATCACAGATAAACTTCATTAATGAAATGAAGACAGGAAAACAAAGATCGGTACCCGTTGTCGATGCCATTGAGACCGAGTTTGGGGCCCATGTCACCGACAGAGACACCAGGGAGGGGAAGCAGGGTCTGCATGTCACGAAGAGGCACAACAAATGCATGCAGACCATGGCACACATTGTCAGGGGTGTACAACTGGGCAAACACAAGAGCGTGAGTTGCTGTGTTCCCTGCAACGATGAAGCCAACTTGAAAAACCATACATGCAGTCCACAGCAACAAAGTCACAAGTGACAAAGAAAACCTAATTATTCAAGACAGATTAGGAAATCACCATGGAATAGATCAAGGAAAGTTTTATAAACAAGCAAAGAAAGCAAACAAGACAATTACATTTGATTTCCCGAGCTTAAGATGAGAAAGGGCATTAATGAGCAATTCCCCTGTCATTATACAATTCCCATAAAAGCAGAATAGCTCAAGCAATATCCACATCACATCAACAACTTTGTTGGACGATTAAACAAACTAACCCATGTTTCCAACCCAACACTTGGCGGCTTCGTGGTCGGGGGTGTGAAGGACAAACTCCTGTGTCTTCGGGTCGTACCGTGCCTCCGTCCGCATGCTCCTCACGTTGCTCCCGTGGCTCAGCTCTGTCAGTGCGAAGCATCCTAGCACCTACATATAGTTTCATTGGAAAGAAAATGAAAAATGTGGCTAATACTTTTGCTGCATGGATGGCAATTCAAATATTTTAAACTGAAGTGAATCACATTCCAAAGCCAGTTCTCAGACTATATATCACATACTTATACTGATTGGCTTCTATTTTTAAATATTTACACCAATGAATTTTTATTTAACATAAAGTACAGGGTGTTCATGCACAACATGAAATACATCCAATATGGGTAGACAACTTTGCATGTGATTTAAGATTTAAGATAATATTCAAGGTAATATGCAATTTTTATTCAAATCTTGGAGAATATAAAATAATTTGCAAAAAGTCACCAAAACCTGCACAAATTTTCATTCTGTTAAAGGTTGGGATAGGAAGGTTCTCAGGCATGACTAACTAGGGTTACCATATGCCTGGTTTCTCCCAGACATGTCCTCTTTCTTAGCTTTCTGACCAGGAAGAAGGCATCCCCATAGGTTACTACATGTTCAGATAATTATGCTGCACGTTTGTCTTTTTGCCTTCAAATTCCTGTCCAACATCTAAGTATACTCTTTTTGGCTGTTCAAAATATAGTAAGCCTATGACTGACAAATGAACCTTTTCCAAGCATGAGAAACACTGTTTGGCCCAAAATATCACTGGGTGCCTATGAAAAAAAAGAGAGAAACGAGAGTAAACCTCGACAGATCGGAACACGACTGTACCTCGAAGTTGGTGGTGCGGCGGGCAAACTCCTCGTGCCGCTTGGTGCCCTGGCCCTTCAGGGCCGAGATGAAGAACTCCCCGGCGAGGAACTTGCGAGCCAGCAGGGACCAGTCGTACAACCCCATCGCCACGACGTACCCAATGATCAATTGGGGACATCGGTAAGCCTCGTTTTCGGGGAGGAAGTTGTACTCACGTATCCGCTTCAGGCAGCGGAATGTCCTCGCCCGCATCTCCTCCAGGCTCTCCTCATTCTTCGGACGGGCAAACACTGGGTCCCGCTCCATTGTCTCCCACATTTTTCTCTAAGGTAGTCAAAAAAGTAAGTCTCCTCTATGTATCAACTGTTGGTGGAAAATTGTCAATTCCTACAACATATGCATGACAAACCAAGGAGAAACCATATATACCAAATTCCAGACATTTAAAGGAAAACTGCATAGGGGATACATGAGAAAGGCCATCTGGTCCATCAGGTGAGATCCATAAATTTATTTGCAAATCATCTTAATTTCATTCTAAATTTTAATATTTCATGAAAACTGATTTTTTTACTACTGGAAACTGACTGAAATTCATTTCAGGTGAAAAATGAATTCCAAGTTTCCTTATTTCCCAGCAAAATTGATGACTTGAGCCAGGAGGCAACAACCTAGGACCTGTGAAAGGAATCCATCTGGCCATCAATTAGAGAAAGGTTGCTGACCCCTGACTTTGACCCACCATGATTTTGAAAACCAGAGCTGGAGACTGCTGGAAACAATTTCAGGGTATCTATGTATGATGAACCTGTCAAAAACTAAAAGCCAATCAAAACAGATTTTTCCAAGTATTTTTCTCATTCCAACCAGGAGCTCTCACTGTTTACCTGATGACATTTCCATTGCAGTCCTAAAACCAGCAAAGTATTACCATTTCCACCCCCTTCTAATAAATCCTGCATGCATGAATGGGACAGAAATCATCAATTGAGGTGATACGAAGACTGACCTTGAGCTGGGTGACGGCCTCGGGTTCGAAAGTTCTGCGGAGGCGGTCGACATCGAAGGAGGCCTTGCCACGGTAGGCACTCAGGCTGTTGGCTCCCTCCATCCTTCCTGAATCGAGCTTTCAGTGCCTCGGCGTAGCAAAGGCACACCTAGAAGCAAATGCATACACTATTTTCTCCCTCTGCTCTCAAGACATTGTATGATAAGGATGGTAAACATGATAAGCTGGGCAAAGTTCATCCAGTAGCAAGTGTCCTCTGAGTGTGCTCTTGTATATGACAAAAAGAAAAGGGAGGGAAAGAGGAAGCAGGGAAACTATATGAAAGGACTTAGTATGTCCAAGGTACAACCAGCCTGCATTGCCAAATATTTAAATTTTTTTCCCCTGTATTTGCTTTAAAATTTTCAAGTATCAAATAATGCCAAGTTCATCAAGTCTGCATGCTGGTAATAATTTTGGCAAAATGGAAGCAGTATAATCCTCACAACATTGATGATAGCAGGGTGGTTCAATTGGCTTTTTCCAAACAAGATCATTATTACTTTAAAGAAATCAAAGTCACTAAGAGAATTCCAGTAGAACTCTTGGCAACATCCAAAATTTAAAAAAATAATAAAGTGTGCAGATGCAAGATTGCAGGTAGCCAAAAAAATTGAAAATATACCTCATAAAATTGAACTCTCTCCAGTGGTTGCACCTCATGTGGCACAATGTGTGTTCATTTGTCAATCACTAATCTCATTACTGAAGAAAATGATTAAGTACATTTCAAGTCAAACACACTAACTTGCTCAAGTGCTGCACTTGACTGGTCAAAACTCCTTCTGGAAATGCATACTAATTCCATTATTTTTCATAAGCACACAAAACTACTTCACCATTAGTACACCTTGTGTTTTCTCTCCCTTCCACACACACATTTACATCTTTAACTAGTAATTGCATTATGCAACATCCAAAAGGTGGTAGCATGAATAGGGACGAATGTGGCATGTAAAATATCTAATTAATATGTAAGTTCTCTAATATGTGAAAAAAAAACATTTTTCACAACTTCTCATCTATGTCTTTGTAAAGACAATGAACTGCAGACAAACTGAAAGGATGTTTCCCGCATTCACAAAAGACTGAGCATGAGAACTGTGTTATGTGAATGAAGTCAATGCTGTGAAATGTGGCGATACAAAGGACTCAATGCAAGTTTGAGGGGAATGGCTCCCCCATGGCAGAGGATACCCTCAGCCATCCAAGGCATTTCTGAAAGCTTTCATCAAACAATGAGAGTCATCATGGGATAAGGAGGGACTTTTATATAATGCAGAAGAATCACAACTCAGGATTTTCCAAATCAAAAATTCTGACTCGGGCGCACGATGGAGCGATGACGCATGTCGCCGCGTGAGCACACCGTAAAGCAAGGGCCAGGTTTGCACAGGTCCACCCCATGGCTTCTGCACCACAAGTACACCACAATGCAGGAGCCACCAATGTCTCTGTATTGTAACCACGTTCCACTGTCTCACTGCGGTGGGAGTGTCCTCGGAGGGCAGTACAGTCCCGAAGGGACGGCAGAGGAGTACCCCAGTCCGACGCCACGGTGCGTGTGCGTGGACATGCGTGCCATTTCGTACTGCTGATCCAGATTCTCGAACAACTCTGCCTGCTTCTTCAGGAGTTCCTCTGATGCTTTTGCCGGTTCGGGTTCCCGGGATTCTCCAGAGCCTTTAAACATGAAGTAAAGATGATAAATCTTGCATTTAAAAAAATGTAACAAAGCCTGATTGACCCATTTTCCCACATCAATGAGAGCAAGCAAGTCAATAATCCCAATGCAACACTACAGACTTTTACTGCAGTCATAGTATTTTCAAAGAGCAAAGATCCACAAAACTTTCATGGGAAGATAAGAATTCCTTTACTCAAATCAGAGGAAATCTTTCTTTAATTTTTCACAGCACTTGAAAAGACTTCATAGCAACTCTCTCATATCAGCACCAAATTTCCTCATGAAAATTTTTCCCTTAGGAAAAAAACCCCATGTGGTCCATCTCTCAAGAGTCCATTAGTCAGCATTATTGTTCAGGAAAGTCATCCTGGCCCACACAACAACTTATTAACCAAGGCATGCAATTAAAGCATGACTATGCCAAGCAAATACAGTCAACTCTCATTATAACAAAGTCAATGAAGCCGCCAAAATTATTTCGCTGTATCAGGTTTTCATTACCTCAGGAGAGAGTCATATATCTCCAAATAGAGAACTGAATCATGTTATGCCTGAGTATATTTGATTAGTATCCTGTGGGTGTGCTTTGGGGGCCCTATGGCTTTTGAAGATTTCATGGATGACAGTACTTTAACACCTTTGCAGGCACATATCTGCTGGTGGGTCACAAGGCATTGTGGTTAAAGTGTTGGAAATTGCATTGGCAATTGACATCTCAACCCTTATGCTGTGAAAAATGACTTCAGTTGTTCCCTGCAACACTGCCATTAGCTGTGCCAACATAAATTACACAGCAAAGGGGTTAAATGTGTAAAAGCTACTTTATAAAGGGCATGGACCTCCTAAAGCCTGGTAAAATGAAACCTGCACAGCATCAATGAAACATGGGACCCAGACAAAAAGCTGCTGAGTGCAGGCACTGAAGTGCTCTGTTCACTTGAATCTTCCATGTTCACATCCCCCACCACACACACATTCCCCCTATCACACACATTCTGCATGCCTCAAATTCTTGGTTCTCATGGGTCGTGCAGCTGAAGACTGAGGTGGAGGGCTGAATAGAGATAAGGGTTGACCCTTCTGCACTTCCATCAGGAGGGAGAAAAAAAATTTACTTCTGGACAGGGGAAAATTCATTATATCCTGCATAGTTTCTACCTGGGAACCCATTCATTCATTATTATATCATCATTTTCTTTATATCCAATTCTGTTATATCTGATTTCACTTTATACTGATCACTTACACAAAATTACACTGATCACTTTACACAAATTACACTGACCACTTTATACAAAATTTTAGCATGGGTGTCAACAGACATTTGGCAAGGCAACATCAAGGATTATAGCCAGGTTTTCATTATGAGGAAAGTCAACTGTATATGATAAAAAAAAACAACAGCAAATGACTCACCACTAGGATCCTTGATGCCCATGAGCTTCTTGAACTTGGCTGTCATCTTCCCATCCTGGTCTTGAGCGAATGACATGTTTTTCCAAACTTTCACAGATGTTGATGCCTCTCCTGTTTCCTACAGAATGCAGGCAAAAAATCATTCCAGTTGCAAAATAACAGGGACATGCAAAGGGACTTGTATTGTTAAGAATCAGGAGTCAATTACTGGAAATGCTCCAACTCTTTAGAGGCAAAAGTGAACTTTGTTGTTACATCAAAGTCAACATTTCAAACATAACATTCATCAGACAAGAAATCATAAAAAAGCAAATCCCCATAAAATACTAAAATGGCTATCCCAGGATGGTTTCTTATAAAAAAAACAATAAAACCTAATGTGACATAGTAATACCACTAGAGTGTCTAAAAAGTCAGCGTTTGGAGGGCAGTACACAGGACTATGGATTCACTCACCTTCTTCCCCCACAGGAGCTTCTTTTTCTTCTCCTGCTCAGCGTACTTGAGAGGGTTCATTGCGAGGGGATTGTAATACTTGGGGAGCTCAATGCCAGTCATGGCCTTGACCCGGTTCACCTGATCCTCAGCTGCCTTCAGCATGTGATGGCTGGGGTCCACCTGCTCTCCGAGATTCGCCCTGCCGCCCATGGCAAGGGCGCCTGCCATCACAGCTGCTTTCGTGGCAGCCGACACAGCTGCCAGATCCTCGGGCGTTGCCTTTGGTCCAAACTTCCTCGGCTCACTTGGACCTTCTGCAAAACAACAACAGGTTGCTCAAGCAGGGCACAGCTTTCCTGAAAAGCTTTCAATATGAGGGAAAGACATGCTACTGTGATCATCAGCAGCCTTGCCCTTGCTTTGGGATTGTGAACGTCTGGGGGAGGGAGATCGACGCTGAGGAGATCGGTCCCGATCACGACTCCGCCTGACAAGATCACAACAGCATGATAAACTCATTAATACTATGCCATGTTCATCACAGAAAGCCTTGTGATGAAATATACAATTTCAGTTATTTTAGACAATTGAAAACAGCAAAAGGTTTTCTTGTTAAGCAAGCACAGTTAATAATTTATTGCAACCAATATATGACAACTGAAATCCTCAAAGATCCAGTGTCATAAATTTAAGAAAAAAAAAAGAAGTATTGGTACAGATAACTTCTTTCACCAAAGGAAGAAATGTTACCAATGATTTTCATGGGTTTTTTCATCACCATAAGTGTTACAGCTACAAATCAACAATATCTAGCAATAACATGAATAGGGGGAGCTTTCTTATCAAAATTCTGGCAAAAAAATATTCTCAGATTATGAATATGGATTCAAGAACTTTGTCAAGAGTATTGAATTCGCCCATTTGCACATTTCTGCCATCAAACAGTGATGTGGCTATCAATGAATGCCCTCCCTTAATATTTTTGTATCCCCACTCTTTGGCAAGAGCTACATAATATTCTTAATATTGAGATCTATACATTTTTAAACAATGGCAACCAAGACAAACAGAACACCTTTGATAATACTCTTACAGTAATTGGAAAAAATAAAAAGATATACTCAATCACAAAGACCCACCTCCTATCCTGGCTGCGAGAACGTCTGCGGCGACGATCCTGTCTCCGATCGCCAGGTCTCCTCTTCCGGTCCCGGCTGGAGCTGCGATGACGATCGCGATCCCTCCGCTCTCGACTTCTATCCCGGCTCAGGCGTCTGTTTGAATCCTCATCGGAGCTCGAGCCGCGTCGCCGCACCCGGCGACGATCGTCGGCACGTTCTCGACTGCTGCGACCGGGGTCTCGGCAGGGCCAGCTCTCATCCGCCTGTCAGGAAAGGGGCACCCGTCTCAGGGGAAGGAGACACACCACAGGTTAACGCATATAGTCCTCAATGCACTTCCCTCTTTTGTGACAGGCTTAAAGCCAAGGATTCAAAATCCTAGCAGACAAAATAAAAAATCAAATATCTATCCCATTAAGAAAGCATGTGAGACACGGATCAGCACCTTTATGGGAGTAATACAGTGAACCTTCCTTTCATACATTACATGCCAGAAATCCCTAAACATGGCAGCTATGTTCAAGCCTACTTACTGGAGATGAAATCAAGAAAGCTTGGGGATCAATACACACATACATAAGTATAGCGTGGACTGCAAAGTATTTGCAAAGTATGCCAGACATATACACTTAAATGCATTGTACATTTTCTTAGATCTTAATTAAGATTCTCCCCTGGGACACCCTGTGCAGTTGAAATGGATGAGACATTAAAAAAAGCTAAACTTATTTTCATCTACCAATCTGAGTAATGATTAGCTTATTGTTCTCAACGCGGTATGGTACATAATATGAAAACAAGAGGATGTCAGCAGCAACCAGACTCTTGTGTATCAAGGTAGATATGCTCCTTCCCTGATCAGTGAGAGCATTTCCTTGTCAAAAGAGATATATTTAATTTTTAATATTTAATGAAAACCTGCTGATGAAAATAGGAATTTTGGAGAAATCCAATCCATTGGTAAAAATCCATTGAACTGGGTTTCATTTAGCTTATATATTGTCTTGAATGGATTTAAAAAGAGAGAACCAGAGTGCTTGATAATCTCAGGTATCTGTCAGACCTTTAACAATGCTTCAGCACTGTTCATTAAGCCTTATAATAGATACCAACACGGTGATGTTATTTTCCAACAAGCATGTGGTTCTGTTTCACTTGGGGCTCATATTTGCATTTAATTTCAGACACATACGGAAAGGAAAGCTCCAGTTATGGTGGTACACAAAGAAAATTGCTGAGCCTAAGTAGGCTCCTTTCTCAACTTTGCCAAAGGTGAAAATACGCCAAAAGTATGATAATGAATACACAAAAGACAGGGTCCTACTGTGCAAAGCAAGTCTCACATCCACAGTCAAGAATATCTGTGCATGAAAACAGGTTCCGCTTAACTTTTGATGCCTCCTCCCCCTTTTGACTCGTAGAGCATTCCTCAGCGAAGAGGGCAAGAAGAGAGGAGGTACCACAAGAGTAACAGAGCGTTCCCCCCGAGGCAAGACGCACGGTGCGGGCGATACGGGTCACTCACCTTGGGCATCACCGACTACCTGAGACGTGGGGGTCACGCACACGGCACTCACTGATCGAGACCAAGCGATCAGCATTGGTGACACGGTGAGGGGAAGAAGACCTCCGTCCACTTGTGACATATATTCATAACACTCTGGGTTAATTTCCACAGTTCCTTCCATACCAATCCCTCTTTTCTGTCTTTTTTGCTAACTTCTTAAGTGTATGCTTAATTAACCAACCAATTAACCTCATTGGAATTGTGGAAGTTTATAGAACAAGCTCCAGAGAAATGGTGTTTGTAAATATCCTGCTGTAACCAACTATAAATAATGAACTTCATGAAGTCCATGCTCACTGAACAAGATTTGCAGACGTCAGACTCGCTTCAATATATAATTTTATTATGATACCTCTATTCAAATAAGCTTTTCCATGAATGAAAAGAATAATAATGACTGACTAAACCAGTGAATAACAAACAGATAACCTGAGAAGTGCATTTTGCAAGAACCACACCATATTATAATTTCACATTAAATTGACCATTAGGGCACAAACAATTCAAATAGACAAAATTGTGACTCTTGAAGTTCCTCTTCACCTTTCTGTAAAATCTTTACCCGAGTAAAGGGCACTAGGCTGCAGCCTAATTCAGTCTGAGCAGCCTATTAGAAAAATCCCAAGCAAGCTAGCTACAGTCCAACCCACTAATGCTTTACAGATATCACATGGATGGAGGGAGGGAAACAAGTCATATGCATTGAGGATCCACGAGATTTGGCACAAAGGCGCCAGCATTTCATGAACAAAAAATTTAACTCAAAGAAGGGAGAGGAACCAAGTATATGGTGAGACTCACCTTCCTCCCAGGGTTCTTCTCTCTCGTGTGCCGCTCCTCCTCCTGCACCTTTTCCTCCTCCTTCTCCTTTTTCTATAGATAAAAATGCATAGTAAATTGAAACCTTCCTATCAAAAATCGTGCAGTTTTACCTTGAGTAACCTACATCTTCAACAGCACCACTGAGTGGACATCATCACTCTTTAAACAAACTCTATATATATTAGCCTTAAGATGTTCACATCAAGAAGCAATCCAATCTCTATTTCTATCATTCCTTGATGGCAACTTTTCCACAGGTGGACCCATTTTTTGATGTGGTGCAAAACAAATATTCTTCCATGCACCTTATAGAGCTGGGAAAAACAGCATAATTTCAACAACTGCTAACATCATTCATTCCTGACTAAACTGCCTGAAAGAAATCCCCAAGACACAAATCCTACTCAGGGTATCCTCACCAATTAGCTCAGATAAATTAGCTAATTCAATACTAATACTGAAACAGGAGATAATTTCATCAACTTTAGGTATGAACATGCTCAGCAGAAATAAAAGTGAAAAAGCTTACTTTGTTAGGTGACTGCGGCTGGTCATCATCAGAGATGTCCATGTCACTTCCATCTTCGCTTTCTGAATAGCCGCACAGCTTGTCCATGGTTATTTCTACCACCAAATCAGATCTACCGGCAAGACATGCTCTTACATTAGGGATGAACCAAAGCTGAAGAATTCAGATTTAAAATATACTAAACAATGAGAATACCAACAACAATGACTTGAAAAAAGTCTGGCTTGAAATGAGCAAATCAGAAAAGTCTGTTTTCTTCAAGACATCACGACAAAACACAGGATAGAATGATCAGTTCCTAAGAAATGCAAGATTACAGATTACAGAAGTTAGATACCGTGAACCAGACTGTCCCATTTCCTTTCACTAGAACAGACTTAAAAAGGGCAAATGTTAAATTTGATTGCATCAAAACCAATAAGCAAAATATATGGTATCAAGACTATTACAACCCCCCACCATTCACATTACATCTTTGCCTTGGATTTCACATTTTATTCATGACAGCAACAGAGCGACATCTTCCCTCGAGGCAAGCCGATGGCGGTTGGATCTCAGGCTTCCCTGAATCCAAGGATGCCAGGGGATTTACTTTCCATACAAGCAATCACAAGTCTGCATTTAGATGACAGCATCCTTCATATCCCTCACATCATCAATTATTTGCTAGAAGTTCAAGTTAACAAAACAAATGTCAGAGAGGACTCTCGATACCATATACAAATCACAGGAGAAAAAAAAGAATAGTTATAGCTACACTTTCGCATTCTTGCACACTTCCATGCAGCATGTTTCCCTTCGCATTTCCCAGTAGCCACAGGGAACGGGTCCGTCTCGGGGAGATGCTCTGCAGATTCGGTATTCGAGCAACTTGGGCTAGCGACACTCCCAAACTTTTATGGACTGGTCCACGCTTCCCGTCAGGACATAGGGCGACGATTTGTGCATGTCTGCAAGAAAAATGGACACTTAACAATGACTGTCAATCTAAAATATCAATGGCAGATCCATAAGTCCTAGGTGGCATGCCTGTGGCCTGACAGATGAGCTAGAACATAATTAATTCATTCATTGCTGAATCATAGTTAGCTCATTAAATGCCATGTGCTACAGGAAATCAGAGAAACAGCCAAATGTCTATTCAAATAATGTCCATTTAAATCAGGGATGCACAAAGTGGGTGTTCTCCAAGGCATTTTGTGTGCTGAACAGGTTAAGGAAAGTGGTTGGGTGTAAAAGTAAAGGTAAAAGAAAGCTAATAAGACATGTTATGGGTCTCCATGAAAGTCTAGAGCTCTAGCAAGTTAGAAATGACTGCCTTCATGAATCAAAGACAGTTGCTCCTTGCATCTACTGTTGCAAGACATGCCCTACATGAATGAGCAGTGGGAAGGAGAGATCATTGAATGCTAAGAAAAACTTGTTCAAGTTAGGGGGTTACTATTCCCAGTTTTGAAATATCCATCAAGTCTGATAACTACCTGGTTACACAATAGGCACCCAAGAATCAGAGAATACATCAATCGGATGGAAAAATTCACTCGAGAGTGAGAGGATACTTCCAGGAAGAGACTGAAGCCGTCCCTTCCGATGTGAACGGCACAAGGGAGAGGATAATGGAGAAACATCACTCTCCTTATGAGTCTTTGGGAGCCCAAACGGGACAGGAAATATAGTCCATTTATTGGGAAAAAGCCCACTTTCGGGAAGCACTTGACAGCAAAGGGAAGGCTAATCCTTTTAATAGCCTCAATCATTAACTAGGTAAAGGGAACAATCTGAGGGAACTGTAGCATGACATGTTCAGAGACATGTACCTTAATCTTTGTTGGGAAGCCAAGCCATAGGTTTATTGCCTTCATTAATCATCCTATTGTTTAGAGAAACTGTTTGTTCTTTTTCCTGATACATGGACTATAACTGTATATCATATGTGCACGTGCTTCTCTTCACCTCTTCAACCTCAATGGAAAAACTTCCATTCCCATATCTGGAAGACACCCACATTTACTTTTGAGGCAGAGCCTAGATAGGGGAATGCATGAGAACAGTTAATGAAAAGAAATTAAACAATAAACTTTTAGTATTTAATTACCAGTTAGGAAAGGTCTGTCAACTGGCTAAACAGCTAACTGTTGAAACTCCTAGTCCAACTCCAAATTCACGCAAAATGAAATCATTATCCTTGAAGAATGAGCAGACAACTTTAAAATGTATTTAATCAAATCTTTTTTTCATTAAATTGGAACTGCACAATGTTGCTATAGCAGTTCAATTATTAGCTATCGATAGAGAAATCTTGCATACAGGTATGGGGAAATGTGTTAATTGTGCATGCATATCACATATTAAAACTTACAAACATCTCCACTCACAAAAGATTGTTTCAGACGGAATGTGGTCACCACTTGAACTTTTCATAGAAAATGTCATCTCTGGTCATTCTTTCTTTACAAGGTTTAGTGCACATACTCAGGATCCCAAAAAAATATGACAGCATAACTGACTACTGCACATAACCACACCATGCTATTGCTGAACCTCACAGATAAATCCAACAGTTCCAGAAACCTGCCCCAAAAATAATAAATACGTGACAGACCGATTGTGATGCAAAAGTGCCCGTGGGCCTCCTGGGTGCGGACGCAACGTCGTTGAGCGAGATCCCACACTCGAATGGTCTTGTCATCGCTGGCACTGAGCAGGTACTTCCCGCCCGGGTGGCACACCAGGCCCCTCACCCAGTTGTCATGCCCAGCCAGTGTGTAGAGGCACAAACTCACACTGATATCCCATACCTGCTCCAGACATTAAAAAAAAAGTCACCACTTGAACAATGGAAGAGGTAATCAAGTAGTTCGCTATTTTTAATTATTTCCACCCACCTTTTTACAGACTTTAAAAATTGTCATTGACTGTTACAAAAGAATGGTACACCAGAGTTCCAAGGCCCTGCAGACAATGATGAAGTTTCAGCACACAGCTTAAGTCTGAATACAGTGCCAAGAATATGACTAACCACTTCCCATATCCCATTGCTCCACATGGGTCAAATGGGCACTTTCTCAAGAGCAAAAATGCAAATTACAGCCACTATGATATATTTACACATCAACTCTGTCAGAACAAGCACAGCGCTTTCATTGAACATCGATGCACATGAAAGGAGATAAAACAAGTTGAGAGATTTCTAATTCACATAAATCCCTTAGAGCAGGGGTCAGGAACCTATGGCTCATGAACCAAATTTGGCTCACGAGTCAAAAGTTTGGCCCATGAGACATGGCGAAAAATCATGCTCATTCCTCATATATCAAAGAATGCACATCTGTTGCGAACTTCAGGGAAAAAAAACTTGCTTTTTTTTTTAAAATCTTCTACTCACAAGCACAGAGCTCAATCTTAATTTGGCTCACATGGCCAAAAAGGTTCCCGACCCATGCCTTAGAGGAATGCCATGAGAGAACTTGTAAAGCAGCAATCTATGGTTCCAATCTCAATGTGAAGTGTTTTCTATTTATCTCAAAAAACAAACAGTAAATCTGTCACTCTTGAAAGCATGTGCAATGCTGCATTCTTTTGGGGGTCAGGCCCCCGACACCAAATCATTGCATCACATCTCATCTGGTGGAAGAGGAACCAAAAAGTACATGCAATAAATACCTGAGAGAAAACAGATTCTTTCCTCACCTTGATGGTCTTGTCACGAGAACCAGACAAGAGGAAGGGGCCGGACCGCCCCCCGGATCGCCCATCCCCAGCCTCGGCCTGCCTGGCTCCCTCATCGATGCTCTTGTGTGAGGACTCTGGAGCCCACGTTAGGCACTCCACCACGTGTTCATGTTCCCGTAACTCGGCCTACATGGACCCATTATGGCATTGAGTTGATTAAGACTTGCCAAAAGAACATTGCAGAAAAATGCCATGTTCTTTTACACAATGACATGACAAAGAAAAAGTTGCCAAAAAAAAACAGAGTAGAAGAGGTGAAGTTTTCAATCATGTTCAATTTTGGGATGCTGTCTAACATAAGTTACCAGACATATATAACCAATTAAAAAAAAAAGAGGTTATTGTCTGAGTGCTAACACAGCATCAGAAATAAAACACCGACCTTGCATTCCCGTGTAGAAGTGATCCAGACTCGCACCGTCTGGTCATTGGAGCAGGAGGCAATGAGGGAACCGTCCGAGTTCACTCGCACCATTCGAATCCATTCCCGATGTCCAGTGAAAGTTTTCACGCAGTACCTGTTGAGAGGAAATTTAAAATGAAATGACTATGATTCCAAATAAATGGCAGCAATGATGAGCAAGATGGGGTAGGTTCTTGAGTCAATTATTCTTAGGTAGAAATTACTTCAGAACATTTTGGCCCAAGGCAAAATCTAAACTGGATCATAGTATTCACACTTAATGGATGAAGAAAAAGTCTCTGCGATTCATTTATATAGATTTTGTTCATTTCTTAGAATAAGAATGTTTCACACTATTTTCAATTGAAATATTTAGTTTTATTTCACATAAAACATCAAAGCAGCATCAGAAATACATGCAAAAAAGAATTGATCCAAGGATACTCATTCAATTTAAACTCACCCAGTGGCAACCTCCCACATTTTGAGTGTCTTGTCCCTGGAAGCAGATATGATGTAGTCTCCAGAGGGCATGAAGTCCACACTGGAGACACTGTGGTCATGCCCACGCAACGTCCGCAGACACTCGAATGTTTGCATGTCCCATAGTTTTATGGTCATATCGGCACTACAGGATGCTGCAAGTGGAGAATAACAATAAAAAGAAAGAGAACTTTAACATCACGGAGGCAACTGCTACACGAACAAGTATGAAAGATGTTTCAGATGATAGATTATCGCTACTTGTTAACCCTCTGTTCAAAGCAAAATTACAATCATCCAGGAATTTAATGAAGTCACAAAGACAAAGCTCTGATGGCATGATTGCTGTGCATGTGGCACATATGCTTAATGATTTTTTGGACTTGAAGAAAGAATAAGAAAACCAGAAAGGTGCAAACAAGGTATAGTTAGATCAATTTCACTGAGACTCTAATACAATTTGGTAGCAGAGTTTAAAGCTGGAAGACATGCAACAGAATAATAATTATATTTTGGTAATGATGGATATCCCAAACTGTAGAGTGAATTCACTCAGCAACCAAGGCTGCATCATTGTATAGTTGCCATATTCAATGCTGCATACTACTGCACATGCTACAACATGCAGCCTAAGCCTCAATTAGCTGGGAAATGCACAAAGGACTATTAATCTCATTTCATCTCATTCATGTAACAACACAGAAGGACCCGAATCAGTTTACCTAGCCATTTCCCTGTGTGGTCAAATGCAAGGTCTTGGACATTAGCTGTGTGACCCTTGAGAGTTCGCTCATAGTCTCCCATTTCATAATCCCAGATCTTGATAGTGGCATCTTCACTTGCAGATGCAAAAATGCTGAACACAGGATGGAAGAGCACCTATTGAAAATACACAAACAAATGTATCATTCCTGCCTTTCCAGCAGAATCCATCCCGGGATGAAAATGTCGGCATTCCTGCCGAATGTCAAAACCACAGGAAATACCTTGGTCACGGGTGCACGATGACCGGTGAGGCAGAACTTCTCGGGAGGTCGAGGGATCCACTCGTCGGCGGATCGCTTGTCCCGTGGGGGTCCACCCACCCGCAGTTCGTTGGTCAGAGTTTCCACCTGAGCCTCCAATTCCATAATCTGCAAGGATAAATTCCCAAAATTGCAATAAATCTGTATAGCCAAAGAGGAAGCCTTGGAGATGCAAGCATGCACAAGCACCTTCTTTGACATCCGAAGGATGGCAGTCCAGCGTTTCTCAAGGAGACCGGAGAATCTTCCATCGGTATCGCCGGGAAGTGCTGCCTCTCGCTTGAACATCTCCAATGTCTCCATGTACCCATTGTTTGCAAGGTAGTCAGCTATGGATGTATGCCTGCAAAACATAAAGCCATTCATCAAAAACTGCTGGTCTGCTTCATCAGCACCATAAAAAACCTGAATCATTCTTCTAAATGTAAATAGTTACTGATGCAACAAAATCATCACAATATCAACTCCAATGCAACAAAAATTGCAAAGCACGAGAGAGAACTCTTTTCCTTCCAACCAATCACTACTGAGGTTCATATTTATGTCACAGTTAAAGCTGACCACTAAATACTTCATCACTTATACAAAACAAGGGCATAAAGGCATATGGAAACTCAAGATGAATGAAAACAGTCAGAAAGAAAGGGAATTGTGTGAATTTTTTCTCTCCATACCCCTAAGCATGTCCATAACATTTAACATGGTTTCTGTTCCCAATGTGCTAAAGAATGAAAGAATAAAAAAAGGAATGGATATATGACAGGAATATAAATTTATCTACATATTATAAACATTTTACATGAAACTTTTTTTTTTAATATTTGCAAACAACTACTGTCAATTTGATTTTGGGAGTAAATCCAAATCATACATTATCTAGGATCTGAAACAAAATTAGATGTGTAAATGGTGCTAATAACTAAAATGGAACAGGCAACATGAAGGGGTGGATACAAATAAATAAAGGCACTCCAGTGGTACAACTGTACATTCATGTATACATACAAAGTGCTTGAAGAGATCACAGAGTTCATTAAGGCAAATTTAATGGGAAATTTTACTATCTGCACTCCTTCCTAAACATTTGTTTATGAAAATGAGGACAAATCCTGAAGATATGTAGGAAATCCTGGTTTAGCATACACCAGACGAAAAAATTTTGTATAACAGCAGTGATTAGCTTCGCTGTGTTGACCAGAGGAAACTCTGAAATTCATCAATATTCATTCATTTTGTGTTGAAGTAAGTTTAGTACCTTCAAAATTCAAAGGGAATCAAATTATGGGTGAAAAGAGGAACTTGAAGCCAGGATGACGACACGAGGGACAGACATCTGTAACATACACTATATTTCCAAAAGTGATGGCCCACCCATGAGCATGGCCACAACTTCACATTAAAGATTGTTTCTTGCGTCGAACCCTCCTCTGTATGGATGACGGCCTGAACCCGCCTGGGTCGGGCCAGAAGTAAGGTTGGATCTCAGCTGGACTCTCCCCACAAAATGGGGCAAATAAACATGCAATATCACATTGTGACATGCTCCCATCATGTTTTCATCAAAATATTAACTGCACCTCCAGAGAATAGACAGGTCTATTTTGCCTGCTGGCTGGCACTCACATAGTTAATGTTCCCAGTGGCCTTATGCCATTATCTCATTGTTTCATGAATGGGTCTTGCATTTCTACAATGTAGTGCATTTATACAATATTAACTTAAAAAATCATTAATAATCAATATTTCAGTATATTCCACTTTCCTGCAATGGAACAGTGGGCATATTGGGACCATGTTTAATATCACACAGAACTTAATTATTATGCCATGAGTCTGCACCAAGAAGTTGGTAAAAATGCAATCTAATTCCATCAAGGCACAGTCTCAACCACTCAAGTGAAGAAAGGTGAATTAAAATTTGATGGCTTCAGCCCGCTTCTCAAATGCCTGAGAGTCTGCCTTCCTAGCAAAGGCCTACTTCTCTGTTTAGAATTTTGACCAATAAACTCCAGCCATTGCATGTTGTTTATTTGGGGCACTTACCATTAGTAGATCTCATTCCATCATGAGGCCTAATACGAATGAAATTGTTAAGCATATGAAACTCAAATTCCAAAATGCTAATGGAAGCCAGAGCTTCATATTCCAGGCTTAGAAATTAAGTGATACTGGCACCATTACAACCATGTCTTCAACTCCCATTCTTCATGGGCAAAGTCATGGCATTCCAAGAACACCTCCTAACTTGATCTTCGCTACATGGAACAATGCATGTAAGCCAGAATAAATTTTACAATAAAATCCTTGGTGTGCATGAAGTAACTTATCTATTTCAAAGGCCCTAACTCCATTATGGAGCAGCCAAGAAATTTCATATTTGGCACATATGATGTACAGCCAATGGGATTTATGATAACCAAGTTTTAAAAGGTTTCCAAAAAGTTTCTGGAAATAACCACCAGGGTGGCACTATACCAGCCAAACATGCAGTCCAAAGTCAATACATATACCAATATCCACATGGATGGCATGACCAAATTTGCAGGGATTTGATGTGGCCACCCCTGCCACTACCAATGCCTCCATCCATGTAATGAAGTGGTAGACGACAGAACATAATTAGCCAGACGACAATGTCAGAATCTGGCATAGCAAGGCACTGCTATGCATTCCTTGAGCTCCACTAAGTTTGCAGGACTGCTACTATAAACCCCACATCCAGAAGTCTGCAGGTGTAAGACTCTGTGACCTTGGCAGCTAGGCCCGTGGGCAAGCCCTTCAGATCACACGGTCCTGGAATGTACATTGGAGAAGAAACGGGACACGTCTCCCAAAGTGAAGACAGATCCGTGTCTCTAGCTGATACAGTGTTGCCCTGGTGGTGTTATCCAGAAACTTTTTTGAAATTTTGGAAACTGGGCTATCGTAAATCCCATTGGCTATACATCATCTGCACTGAATACGAGGTATCTAGGCCACTCCATAATGGAGATAGGGCCTTTTGAAATAGGGAAGTGACTTCATTGACACCCACCATATATAACGGAATAACTGCATTAAGTTCCACTCAAAGACAGAGAAATACATCTTTTTAAAACTCAGGGAGAAAGCGAGGCTAGCATTTTCCAACCACATTCTTCACTCCATTCAAATTGCTCATGGCATATTCACCATTATTGTCATGTTCATACAATGAAACACTGGCATGCCAATACTCAATCAGGGGGAAAAAGTAAGTTTTTCTGAATCTACCTAGGCCTAGACTTCTCCAATATCCTAGATCCCAAGAAACATTATATTTGATGAGATGGCGAACTCACAATTCTTCTCGTTGTCTCTGTGACAATCCCATTTTTCAGGAGTGGTCTCCAAGATCAACTTCAACTTTTGGACATGTACAAGGGGCTGATGGAAGGCAGGAAACAGAATGAGATCCACTCAATCACTCAATTGGGTGAGTCTAGGGAGTCTGCACCCTTATGTGAACTTGTAGAATTTGTTGTTCATAAGTCCAACGTGCTATGGCAAACTCAAACAATGCTTGCTTCCACAAAAGCAAGTTCTTGTATCAAGACAAAAGCACTCAACTCATACTCACACATGAAAGTCCAACATGACAGCCTTAAAATCTTCACTCCTACCTGTAAATGCAAAAAAAAAATTCAAATGTTCTCTTTGAAAGGTCTAGCCTAGGCTTCAACGAAACTTACCATTGCCATTACTAAATGATATCTAGATCCTTTAAGTTTTGGCCTATCATACCATTTGATGAAACACCTACTGGGGTAGAATTTTCAATCTCTACCCATGAGGTGATGTATCATATACAAACTCAAGGTCAATGACATAGGAGGTAAGGGGTAGTTAGGAAAAGGCCCAACTTTGACATTTCAAGTATTCCAGCTAAGCCCAGCACAAAGAACCAGACAACAGAATTAGCTACAATGTTTTTGAATTGCATTTGTATGGTCTATTCCTGACTAAAATTCTCAGGTGTGAAGTCCCTGACACTTTTATTGTGGGTAGCCATAAAGTGATTAACTGGAAATGACATGTGAATGCCACCCTCGTGGGAAAGAATGCACAGGGATGTCAGATTCTATTGTAATCTTCATATGGCTGGCACAACACCGCAAACACATCCACAGGAAACTCACCTGAAGAAAATGCATAAAAACTAATATCACATGTTGACAACCCTATCTATTTTTCAACCCTTCCCATTATGGGCAAGGGTAAAACCCCAGAATTTATTGACAAAAACTTCATCCTTCAAGCTTTTTAGCCATCTTTATTTGGAGGTATCCAAACATTTTGGTCAGGAATAGACTATACCCCCTTGATGCAGTGGAGGATTTTAAAAGCATGAGTTCCAGATTTTTCCACTCGATCAATGATCCAAAATAAAGGTAATCAATCCAAAATAAATCAGCAATAGATGAAAGCACTCCTGAGGGGGAAGATAATAATTCATTCCTATAACAGTGCATTGTCACAAACAAACCTGCTAAAGTTGCAGGCATCACATAAAATGTCTCGTGTCACAGCGACAAGAGGAGCAACAGGGTCTAAAAGAAGAACTGAAACTATTGTAACTCATCCATGTAATTCAGGAGTTTAGCTTCTACAGCAATTTCTTCTTATTCAACTCCTTTCCTAATCCATATGGTTGAAGGACTGTTTTCCACTCAATAATTAAGTCCATGTAAGTTGGGTCGAAGACGTTCAAAACTGCCACATCTTGCAACGCTTTGAGACTAGGCCTGCATATAAAAATAGGTTATAAAACTTGTATACTCCTACGTGGCTTGAGACACTCCACAAGAAATTTGTGCGAGAAGTCTAAATAAATTGAATTGTCCATTTTGTCGTCGTCTTCCGGATTTTCCTGACAAAAGACCGGACCTAGGCCTACGACCTATACCTGCCCAGCCGAGACCATCTATTAGTTCATATAAAGTACGCTTTGGTTATATTCAAAAATTGCCTCTGGCTTAGGCCAAGGAAGCCGTGAATACTTAATGACGACAGGTAGACATTAGGTGAGTATTTGAACAGATGGGATAGGGGAAAAAAGCACAACTGCTTTATAACTAAATCCTGCGAGGACCCATTCGAGTACGCAACTCCACACAAACCTTACCATTGTATGTCCCACTGAATGGGTCCGGAAACCAGTAATCATTCCAGGTTCGCCGTCATTGTGTGCCTGAGCATACATAAGCCAAAACTGGAGTACATTCTAATGCAAGGAACCGACATTTGCAATGGGCATATTCGACTATGGTGTACCGAACACTGCCCGAAACATTCCTCTCAATTCCATCAACGATTTAGAACATAATACAGTATCTGAATAGGAGCTGAAACGCAAGTCTAACTTCCCTTCCTTCTGTTTTCATACTATGGTGATGACGTGAAAAAAATTTCTTGTTGAAGAGGAATCTCAGCCGGGACATCGCGCAGCACTGCTACGACCTCATCGCTGGGTGACGTGGAGACGCTCGTGGCCCCGTGGAAGCACCGCGTTGCATGTGGCAGTGGGGAGGCGACGGCCTGCGTGGGAGCGTTCCATAGTTCTCTTGCTTTGTGCGGTGCTTGCGTTTCCCGTTAGTTTTTATTTCTGTTTTCTTAGGCATGCGCCTGTACTGGACAGGCTCAACTCCATCATGCCCGTTTCGGATGGATTAAGCCTAACTTTGAGCGTTGCTCGGAAGTAACGGTTCACGGGAATGTCACATTCCTCTTGAACCTAGTAGGGATTTAAAAGATTCATGGGAGAGTCAAGTGTAGAAAATGAAAAAAAAAGCTTGTAAACAGTCCTCAGTGGTACATCGTTAAACTTACACATTTAATAGTGTTAAAATCCTCTCTCCTGGCACGGCAGCACTTCCAAAGTTCTAGAAACTCATGCATTGTGGGAGCAGTTGAATATTATTTTGCTGTGGATAATGGCTGATTCAGCTGCTTATAGTATGTTTCCGAGTATTTGCAGGCAAGGACAAAGACGAAATTAAAGTGAAAGGCAAGACCCCTTATGGTAGAGAAAAGGAATGGAAAAAATATATAAACAGAATGCAAATGCAGGTGCAAATAGTGTAAAGTGAACTCATTCATTGAGCCCCATTAGGTTCACCCTGGATGGCCAAGTTGGGATGCCAAAACGAAAATATTTATATGTATATGTTATGTATATATTTATGGCATCCTCTTTAGTTTTTTTTTAGTTCTAAATCTAATTTTAACTGGCTTGCAACCAGAACAGACGGCCAAGTCTTATTGAATCAATACATTTGAATGTGCAGAGCACTGCCACACTGTTGGGATTTCATCTTTAGTGGATGGAAGTAATCTTTGATGATGTACTATTGTCTCGAAAATAAAGGAGTATTAGTATGGAACAGTTTCTTGCATAGAAGCCTCAAGAAGTCATTCAGTGCCTGTGAAAAATAATTATTCCCTTTGCTCATTTTTAGTACCTGGCAATTCTCAGAGTTTAAGGTCCAAGATTAGACTGTCTGAACCTGCAGCCGAATTCAAAACATTGAAGATGTTGACCATTGCTGAACAAAGTTGGTTGAAAAAGGATACAATAAGATAAGCAATAGCTGATCAACATGTATATAAATCTTGCTAATATCCAGCAATGCTCATAGAACCTAGCATGACACCTGCTCGATCAGATGAAAGTAATGTTTTCTTGATTGGGGGGCCTGTATTATTTCTGAAAACCCATTAGTACTAAACATCAAGAATATAGGGCCTTTAGTGAGTAAATTGTTATTGCATCAGCTTGCCAAATCAATAATTTCTCTTGAAATCTCATTGCAGTTGGAAAGTGTCAGTAATCTTTGAAGATGCCTGTTCCATCGAGTTCGACGACAGTTGGGGCCGGGGGTCGAGGAACCACCAAGTCCATCGGGTCTCGACCTTCGTCAGGTGCCGTTAGACAGAGGTAAGGCTTGTTTACTTAAGTTGAGTCGTGCTTTTGCTCGGAGTCTGTGTTTAGCCGACAAAATGGCTGAGGCAGTGAAATTGTTTTTTGTGTATTTTCAATCATGTTTTACTCCTTTTCCACTTGACTCAAAGTTTGACACATGCCTTAAGCAGTGCCCTTATTAATTCCTCTCTTCTTTGAGTAAGTTTTAAGCAGGAAAACTTATGGAACCATTTGTATTTAACGCAACATAAGTCATTAGACGGTCATCTCAGTTTCAAGCTCGAATTTATTCAACTAGAAGCTCAAATACAGGATCTAAACTTGAATTTGCAAAGAAATACATTTAAAGACATTTATTGTGTTGTGAAACACATGAAAAAACCTAGCCTGTGTCTGATTCACACCCTGCCAACAGGAAGACCACGTCGTCCGCTTCCGCCTCCCGAGCACGAGCGACCCCCGCTGGAGGAAGCGGAGGGATGTGGAGGTTCTACACCGATGACTCCCCCGGGATCAAGGTCGGGCCCGTCCCCGTCCTCGTGATGAGTCTCCTCTTCATCGCGTCCGTGTTCATGCTGCACATCTGGGGGAAGTACACCCGTGGCTGAAAAGCGAAGCCTTGTTCTCATCCCGTCATTCCAACGCATGGCTCTTTACTGAAACTGGAATATCTGGAACCAATCCTGGACTCATTTTATGTCAACGTTTAAGGAATTAAATATATATTATTATAAAGTTTTATGGCGGAATAATTGCAGTTTAATACTGCAAAGAGTTTCTTTCACAATGAAGGGAAATCACTCCTTTGTCAAAGACACTTAGCATTTGGTGTTAAGCTTTTTTGCTTATTTGATAGAAACTTGATCAAATTAATGCCCATGTTCATGCATAACTTTGCTGCTGCATTTCCAGGCTCACTTTGCAATTAAATTGTTAGTAATGAGAATTCTTCTGTTTGGTATTAGTCCCATTATGCTCAGGAACAGCAGCCAAATGTATGTCTAGGGCTCATTCAAACCTTGCTCAACTGATTTCCTCCATTATTTCTATGTCCAACTCAAAGTAATCATGGCATTATCCTCAAAGCTGAGAAGTGATTGTGGGGGAATCCCTCCTAAAGAGGGAACAGCCTCCGTAAGATGTCCACCTCATTGAAATGAATTCCCAATGAGAATAGCATTCCTTTGTCCTTGGTGTAACATCTAGCAGGTAAGTCAAGAATGCTTGATTAACTTGATACAGTACATCATTGCAAGTACCAGGTTTTTGTTCCTTTTTTTTTTCTTTTTTTTGGTGTTACTGTGCAGTTTGGGGGCATGTGGCTATAGCTACATTCCAACCAGGAATGCTTTCCTGGATATTGAAGCTAGTTGAATAGATTCAATAGATTCCAAAGCAATTACCATTGATGTAAGTGACCAATCGCCTCCATTTGACTTCTCATCTTGGTCCGTCACCTTTCCTGAAACTCTGCGAGGAACTGAAATTCGTGTCAAAATGATGGTCCTTTTGCAGTTTAAGGAAGTTTCTCAGTATTTGGCATCACAGGAAAGGAAGGGGAATATGAAACAATGTAGAGTCAGGTGATGTGATTCCATTAGATTCATGCTGTAACTGATAAGTTTGAGAAGGGGAGGGGGTTTGTTCCATGCAGAAGTGTCAAGAAAGCACCTGGGAAGCATCATAAAGACAAGATGCATTGGAGGCAGTGGACTGCTTGAAAGGGAAGGATGGAAATTCATCCTCCATCGATGTGTTGAAATAATTGCTGGTGCCACTTGCACCAACCTAATGGGATTGCCGTTTGAGCAGACCCAAGAACGTGATCCAATGCATGGGATGCTGAGCTTGTGTGTTCTTTGCGGTTTTTGTATCCTCGTTGCACGGATGGACCCCAAGAATTAGGAACCCCGCATCATCTCAGGTCTTACGAAACGGGCTTCTGTTGGGGGATGACCCATACTAAATCAATGCATGCCTGACAAGTTTGGCTCGAAACTCCCAGATTGTCCGTAAATCTGTGATGAAGGCAGTATTGAGAGGCACGATTGGATGTCCCGGGTTCGGTGGTGTAACGGTGACACATGACCGGCAATCAGGAGGCCCGGGTTCAATTCCCCGCTGTCCCCTGGCTTTCTTTCATCCTCTCTACCTTCAAGTTCTTCTCGTCACAAATCGATATAAACAGAACCACATACGTCATTGTGCTTATGAGTTGACCAAGAGTTCTAGAGAATTCTGTAATGTGAAACTGGTGGCGTTCTTCCATAAAAATTGGATTTGTTATGACCCTTGCAATAATCCTGCAAATTGAATCATGGAACCCTGTAATAAAATTCCAAGTCCAGAACCATTATGGGCCTCTTTTGATCCTCGGTTTCTTCTACTCGCTCTCAAAATGTGTGTGCATCCAATTTCGCTCAATATGCACTAGATGTCTCTCAAGTGCAAAAGAGTTCGTCGTCCACATTTTCGTGCGTATTAGAATCAGAAAGGAGGAAAACAAACGCTGACCAGACAACGTCTTCATCAATTCCTTTGTTCCACATTGAATTTCGGAAAACGTACCGAATTCTTTCTAAGTTGAAATGGACGTGCGACGAAGAAATCCTCTTCGGGATGGCCGGTCGCCACGAAATGACTGATGTCTCAATTAGCCTCATAGGCTCAAAAAGAGTCACATGGAACAGCTGCGATCCTTCTTCCCAACGTAAAACCCATCCGATGCTTAACACATAACAAGTCAGTTCTAAGCTCATCAGTGCCTTGCAATCAGGCTCCGTGGAAATCCGAAGAGTCGTGCGCTTTTCGACCATCTGCGCCCTCAATTTTCATTCTATTCTCATTCAGATCTATCTAGAGTCGACCTCCTCCGCCATCAGTCGATGCCTGCCCTGGAACGTCGCCTTGTCCACTATTAGTTTCTATTATCGCCCTTTCTATGGCAATTGGCAAACACGGCACGTTTGCTGCATTTTGGATTCCATTCGAAATCCAAAGGATTCCAAGTTCGACTTGAGTGACATCCCTTTCTCCCCGCAATTTCATTTTTTTATATAACTAATAACATGAGCATGTACGCCCAAGGTTGCATCAATATATTTAACATGACGGCTGAACACCTGCTTCACTTACACCAGAGACGAAAAAAATGGACCGAGCTGTAATGTTCCCTAATTGCGGAGTGTCGTCTTCATCCATGTCTCTGCTCAAAAAAAAAAAATATATATATATATATACATATGAAAAAGTGTGTATATATGAAAAGTTGACAATTTTGCGGGATGACTTGCAAAAATGAAGGACCGGCTAATTCACTCTCAATTGCTTTCCCTCACATTTCGACAGAATCGGATTTGAGATATTCCCCTGCAGGATTTCTATGAGAATCTCGGCGCGCGCAACCTGCTGGGACGCAGGTCGCCGTGACGACCTCGATCGCATCAACCGAAGCACCCGACGCTTGCCACCAACTCAAATTTCGTCATTGAGGCACGAGGAACTGCAGGGCGACGACAAGGTGGGGGGGGGGGGGGGGAATATCCTGAAAATTTCCAGCTGGAAGCATAAAAAACGTACTGCGTGGCTTCGGAAATTCTTCCCTCTGTCGTATTGCAGACTGGAAGTCCGATTTTTTTAAAGTGAAAAATTACGGAAAGTCGAACGTTCTGAGACGTTACAGTGGAAGCACACAGGTGAATCTCAGGCCACTTTTTAATTAGTGCATGATTTCACTTCCTCGTCATGCCTTCCGAGGCATGACGAAGCCACAGCATATGGAAGAAGTTCCTCGCAGGAAGAGGAGAGGAATAAATTAAGAAGACAATTATTCTCGTTTTGCTCCCAAGCTTCGAAACGCAGATGACGATGAATTTTCAGAGGCCAGGACCCAAGAGTCCCCGACACCGCCAATTTTTCCTTTTTCCACTACCGGCTCATTTTAATCACACCATTTCTTCTCATGTAACAAGCCCGACTCCAGAAAAAAAGGGTAGAAAATTCTCGAACTACAGGAGGTCGAACTCGAAAAGCGCGAAAACCCGAGCGCAGTCGCTCTATGCGATCGCGCCCGAACGCGACATGCAGCACCGAGCTCGCTCATATCAACGGAGGCAGGATGTCAGGAAGCGGGCATCTGGACGAGGAAGAGCGAGTGTCATCTGCGAGGCGGTGCACCTCTTCTGCCATTCCCTTCATACCTCCGTCTCTCTCCTTCCTGAATCGGTTTCAGTCTTCCGGCCAGCGGAATCGACAGGCTGCCTTCAAGGTATCGTATTCCTTTATTTATATGTGCATTTATGTTATTACTGTATTATGAAGCCATTCCCGCTAGGTAAATCCATTTCCCTTCTGATTTTTATTGCGCCAGTCGTAATTTTTATATTCACAATTCAGACGTTGAGAGACAAATTGGTGAAGTTAGCATTTAAAATCATGTTAAGTATTATATCGCTTATATACACTCGTGTACAATAGCGATGCATAGCAGGTGCGAATGCACTATAAATGCCCATCATGATCAACATTTTAAAAACAATCTCTCGTTTTAGTTTGAGCCTTCTCACTTTTTCAGAACGTAAAAAATACTAAGCATTTCATTAAAGATACAAGTGATAACGTGAGGTTATACTATGCAATATATCACCAATAGACAAATAAAACTTACAGATACAATATTTTTATGAGTATATTCACCAAATTAGGCTGGAGTAAACGGTTATGCCTTGTCACTTCCATCGTCATAATACAACTTGTTCGATCGACAGAAAACCCGTAGAGAACCATGCGTTCGGACAAGACTTACGTTGTCTCAGCATTCTCGTTGATATTGATGGGGGTTCTGCTGCTGTGGATGACGCCGTCGAAGGATGCGTTGAAGAGCTTCGGACAGGCGCTGCTGAAGCAGCCGTTGCAGGCTCAGCAGGGTCAGGAGGGGCTGGCGGAGGTCAGGCCGGGATCCTTGGAGCCCCAGCCGGGGAAGGCGAAACCTCAGCCAGGTGACGTAAAAACCCAGCCGGGTGACGCAAAATCTCAGCAAGGAGAGGTGAAACCTCAGTCAAGTGACCCTAAGGCCCAGCAGGGAGAGGTGAAGCCCCTGCCAGGTGACACAAAGGCCCAGTCAAGTGACCAGAAGTCTCAACAGGGAGAGGTGAAGCCCCAGCCTGGTGAAGGAAAGGTCCACCAAGCATCAGAGAAATTCTCGTTTGTCATGGTGGATGCTGCTGGGAAAGATGCCATAAAAACGCGTTTATCCACCATGAAGGACGAGGACTGGGAGGCGGAAGCGATCCGTTTGGTGAAGAAAAACGAAGAAATGGGGAAGTACATCATCTTCACGGCCTCCAATAGCGGCCACCGAGAATTCACACTCAACTGGATCGCGAGCCTGAAGCGCAACAACTACCACAAGTTCCTCGTGTTCTGCTTCGACGCCGGACTGTACGAGGCGCTCGCGGAGCGGTCGCTTGGGGACAACGCGGTGGTCGTGCCGAAGAAGTGGGTGAACGTGTCGATCACGGCGGATGAAGCGGTTTGGGACACTCCGACTTACAACGTCCTGACGCAGACGAGGGTGATGATCGGACGCGAACTGCTGAAGCGCGGCCACTCGGTGCTCCTTTCGGACGTGGACGTGGTGTGGCTCAGCCCCGGCATCCTCGCGCACGTGGACTACACGCTCGGAAACGCGGACCTGGCGTGCATGGTCGACGGCACGGACATGAACGGCGGGTTCTACGCCGCCAAGCCGAGTCCGATCGTCATGGAGCTCTTCCAAAAAGTGGCGGACGCGTTGAAAGCGGACGCGAATCTCATCGACCAGTACGCGTTCGCGAACGTCATCAACAGAGCGATGAAGATCCGGTACTCCAAGCAGTTGCACTTTTTGGACAAGCTCTTGTACTCTAACGGGAAGGTCTACTTCCAGGAACGACTTAACGAGAAGATGGGCATTCAACCGATGATCGTCCATGCCAATTTCTTCGTGGGAGCGAAGAAGAAGAGGGAAATGCTGCAGTCTGGTGGTTTCTGGTACGTTTAGGGTGGTGTGGCCAAATACGTGATGCATTGCCTGATGCAATATCTGATGCAATATCCCCGTGATTGAAGGCTTTGCGAATACTGGGTACTCAGCAGTGTGTATCGTACCTGATTTACGCGTGCGCGCGGGCTGTGCTTCACGAAATCACTCGCGTCGCCAGCGACATTTCTTTGCATGAACTTTTTCCAGCAAGAGAGTTATTCGCATCTGCCTGTTCACCGTTACACTGTGATATACATTTTGTCCGACTCGATTTGTCTGGCAACTTCTTTGGAAATGAAGCTATGTAAGAAGGAAGTTTAATTTCCTTCGTTTCGTTCTTTTGTCGTGCTCCTCGCTGTAAGTGATTGGTGTTTAATGAAGAAATTCCACATTTGTTGATGTTTAATTAAGTAGAAACGAATGCTGGATGAACTACTCGGAAATTGATGTTTGATAATTCTTGCAAAATTTATAATAATTTTTTTTAAATTTAATTTGAAATTTTGAAATATATATAATGATTAAAAAATTGTGTTGCAGTGATATCATTAGGAATTTTTTTTTTTTAAGAAGACGCGGAATTAAGCGTTTCACTTGGACAGCACCAAAACGACGCAGCTGACCCACGTTTTGCGTTTTCCGATGCAAGCGATGGCCGCGGACAATTTTTCCTTGAGCCCGCCAGATTCACGGATCGTCTCGACATCATCTCATCCAACTTCGCCCGGATCACGGTCCTACAACCCCCACATGCACCGATATTGCATGTCCATTTCGCGGGAATAAGAGTCCCGACGCCTCCTTCCCCGCCGCTCACCTGCGCCCCGCGTTGAATGATTGAAGCATTCCATTGCCCGGATTGAGGACCGGCGCCCCGAGTTAAAGTTCCTCGACGTGCAAATCGACAAGAGAAATCCGCTGCGATCGATTTAAATAAATATTCTCCGAAAAAAGAAATCCATTCAAATTCAGACCCATCTGGCGTCTACCTCCTCCCTCTGCGTGAGAATCGACAAAACTCGCAATTTTTTGCGGGTTTTTGGATTCCGTTCGACTTCAAGGAGTGGATCCTCCACCATTTTTATTATTATTCGTCAGCATTGGCATGCTATCTGCATCTAAACTTACACCAGAGCGGAAAAAAAATTTGACTGATCTGTTACGTACCTTGTTAGCGTAGTGTCGCCTCCATCCAGAAGCCGTGTCTGCTATAAAAATAAAATTAAATGAATAAATAATTGTAAAAAAATTGGGGAAGGACTTGCCGAAAATGCGAGATCGATTAATTCACTCATAATTTGCTTTCCCTCAAACGTAAACAGCAGCAGATTCGAGAATTTCCGCTACAGGAATTCAGCCATCCATCAAAGAGGCTCGGCGGTGCCAATGGGACACAGGTCACCGAGACGACCTCGACCGGGTCGACCGGGTAGACCGATACCTGGCGACGACTCGAACCTCGTCATCGAACTGCAGGGCGCCCACGAAGCAGAAAAAAAATAGAAGCCTGAAATTCGCCGACTCGAAACATTAAAAACATTGTGGTAATTTTTCCCTCTGTCGTATTGCGGACTGGAAGTCCGGTATTTCCAAAGGAAAAATTAAGTAAATTCGCGCGTTCCGCCTGCGACGTTGCAGTGGAAGCACACAGGTGAATTTCAGACCTCTTCTTTTGATGAGTGCATCAGGTCACGTCCTCGTCACGCCTCGGAAGGCATGACGAGGCTCATAACATATGGCAAAAGTTCGTCGCAGAGAGGGAAAATGAATATATTAATTTAAAATATTGTTCTCGTTACGCTCTGATGCTTCGAACTTCGAAACGCAGAAGAAGACGAATTTCCAGATGTTGGGAACCAAGAGAGTTTCCCGACTACCTTATTCCTCACATTATTCCCCCTCGCCCGGCTTCACAAAAGCGCCGAAAACCCTCGAGCGAGGAAAAAGTCGCGCTCGAAACGCCCGAAACCCGAACGCAGCCGCGCGACGCGATCGCGTCCGAACGCGACATGCAGCCCGAGCCCCAGGTCCGCTCATATCAACGAAGGATGTCAGGAAGCGAGCATCTGGACGATGAAGAGCGAGTCTCATCTATGCGGCGGAGCAGCCCCGTTTCCCATTTATTTCATGCATGGCCCTCTCTCCGTCCAGTCTCGGTTTCGATCTTTCGGCGAGCGGATTCTGCAGGCTGCCTCCAAGGTATCATATTCCTATATTTATATATATATATATTATGTATTTTTATCATGATCAGGCCATATCCGCTGCAGCGATCCATTTCCATTCTGCTTTTTATTAGCCAGTCCTAATTTTTTTACTCACGGTTCAGATGTTGAGAGATAGCTTGGTTAAAATAGCCATTTAAAAGCACGTTTCACGATATATAGCTTATTTCTATTCATTTACAAAAACAATGTTATATACGTACGAATACACAAAAATATAAATGCCCGTCAGGGTCTTCAGCATTGCAAAAAAATTAATGGATGAATAATATTTTTTAAATTTCAATTTTTAGTTTTGACCTTCTCACTCTTTCGGAGCGGAAAAAAAAATAATGATAGGCGTTTCAATAAATAAACAAAGGATAATGAACCGTATGTCGCTTTCATATATATCCCCTTTAGTTGCAAGAACATTTCCTGGTACATTATTTTCATGCGTTTCTTCACTAATTGTCATTATTGTGCAGTAAACGAAAATGCCGTGTCGCTTCCATCGAGTAAGATTTGTTCTCTCGATAGAAAACCCGGAGAGAATGATGCGATCGTACAAGGCTTACTTTGTCTCAGCATTCTCGTTGATGCTGATGCTGCTGCTGCTGCTGTGGATGACACCGTCGGAAGATGCGTTGAGGAGCGAGGGAGAGATGCTGCTGGAGCGGGGGTTGGAGGTTCAGCAGGGACAAGAGGAGGGTGGGGAGAAGCAGCCGGTGGTCAGGTCGGGATTCGTGAAGGGCCAGTTGGGAGAGGCGAGGCCTCGGGAGGGAGACCCGAAGGCGGGAACAGGTGACACAAAGGCGCAGCCAGGTGACCAGAAGTCTCAGCAGGGAGAGGCGAAACCTCAGCCAGGTGACGTAAAAGCCCAGCCAGGTGACGCAAAACCTCAGCAAGGAGAGTTGAAACCTCAGTCAAGTGACCCTAAGGCCCAGCAGGGAGAGGCGAAGCCCCTGCCAGGTGACACACAGGTCCAGCCAAGTGACCAGAAGCCTCAACAGGGAGAGGTGAAGCCCCGGCCTGGTGAAGGAAAGGCCCAGCAAGCATCAGAGAAATTCTCGTTTGTCATGGTGGATGCTGCTGGGAAAGATGCCATAAAAACGCGTCTATCCACCATGAAGGATGAGGACTGGGAGGTGGAAGCGCTCCGTTTGGTGAAGAAAAACGAAGAAATGGGGAAGTACATCATCTTCACGGCCTCCAATAGCGGCCACCGAGAATTCACACTCAACTGGATCGCAAGCCTGAAGCGCAACAACTACCACAAGTTCCTCGTGTTCTGCTTCGACGCCGGACTGTACGAGGCGCTCGCGGAGCGGTCGCTTGGGGACAACGCGGTGGTCGTGCCGAAGAAGTGGGTGAACTTGTCGGTCACAGCCGAGGAGGCAATTTGGGACACCCCGACATACAACGTCCTGACGCAGACGAGGGTGATGATCGGACGCGAACTGCTGAAGCGCGGCCACTCGGTGCTACTTTCGGACGTGGACGTGGTGTGGCTCAGCCCCGGCATCCTCGCGCACGTGGACTACATTACAACGTCCTGACGCAGACGAGGGTGATGATCGGACGCGAACTGCTGAAGCGCGGCCACTCGGTGCTCCTTTCGGACGTGGACGTGGTGTGGCTCAGCCCCGGCATCCTCGCGCACGTGGACTACACGCTCGGAAACGCGGACCTGGCGTGCATGGTCGACGGCAAGGAGATGAACGGCGGGTTCTACGCCGCCAAGCCGAGTCCGATCGTCATGGAGCTCTTCCAAAAAGTGGCGGACGCGTTGAAAGCGGACGCGAATCTCATCGACCAGTACGCGTTCGCGAACGTCATCAACAGAGCGATGAAGATCCGGTACTCCAAGCAGTTGCACTTTTTGGACAAGCTCTTGTACTCTAACGGGAATGTCTACTTCCAGGAACGACTTAACGAAAAGATGGGCATTCAACCGATGATCGTCCATGCCAATTTCTTCGTGGGAGCGAAGAAGAAGAGGGAAATGCTGCAGTCTGGTGGTTTCTGGTACGTTTAGGGTTGTGTGGCCAAATACGTGATGCATTGCCTGATGCAATATCTGATGCAATATCCCCGTGATTAAAGGCTTTGCGAAAACTGGGTACTCAGAAGTGCGCATCGTTCGTGACTGGCGAGTGTGTGTGAGCTGTGCTACGCGAAATCACTCGTGGTGTCAGCGACATTTCTTTGCGAGAACTTTTTTCAGAAAGGAAGTTATTCGCATCTGCCAATTACTTGCTCGCCGTTACACTGTGATATACATTTTGTCCTACTTGCTTCGTATGGCAACTTCTTTTGAAAAAAACAATGTGAGAAAGAGGTTTTGTTATTGCTGAATTAATTAGAAACGAACGCTATATGAACTACTCGGATATTAAAGTTTGCTCATCATTTCAAATTAATATGAATTGTTACAGAATTGTTACGAAATGAATAAAAATATTAATAGTTGAACTGGAGTATCATAGAGGATAGGGAATTTTCTTTAAGAAGACAAGGAATTCATCGTTTCCAACCCGACCGCTGAATCGCAGCAAAACATATTTCATACTCATCAAAAGTTTCTTCACAACATCCAAAGAAAGTTTTAAAAAATCACGAGCGACAGAAGTGGAGCCCCAAAATCATCGAGTTCCGAACGGAGTCTCGCGGCGCGATCGCGTCCGAACGCGACATGCAGCACGAGCACCAGAATAGCTAGGGTCAACGGAGGATGTCAAGAGCGGGCATCTGGATGAGGAAGAGCGAGTGTCATCTGCGCGGCGGGGTCTCCCTTATCTCATTCCCTTCATTCACTTGTCTCTCTCCTTCCTATCTCGACTTCAGCTTTCCGCCGACGAGATTCTGAAGGCTGCCTCCTTATATCTAATATTCATCGGCGATCCCAAATGAATGACAGTGACTGGCGCTTATTCTGACCGTGTTTCTAAATGATACAATGATGAAACTTCGTTCATGAATGCCTCTTCATGCTAAATGATGAATCCGGACGGCAAGGTCGTCTCGAAGGTCTTCTTCAACGTTTCCCTCAGGAGACTGCCATTCGCCCTATGCTCGTCCGTCCCGATATCTTTCTGCAAACGACGTCGAAGGAGATGCTGCGGTCTCGGAGTCTCGCTGGCGCAGTTGAATGCAGTCTCCAATGCTAATTCGCGCTCGCGCGAGATCTTGATTGAAATTCTTGAAATTTGATGGAATTACTGAAATCTGAAATGTTCTCCGTCGTTAATGTTTCGCAATTAAATCATTAATTACAACTTAATGTTTAGTAATTATTACATATTAAAATTTTCGAAATTAATCAAAACTTGCTATAAAAATTAATTATTCATTTACTGTTTATTGAGACAAATCAAAACTGATAAAGTCAATTTATCGTCCCAATTCGCTCTCATCAAATCCGCGATCCCCATAGAGCAAATCTTCGGATCCGGCAAGCCTTAATTTAATGAGCTTACGGATAAAGGAAGTAAAAGAAAAATCGATGGCAGATGGGTAGCGGCTTGGGCAAGAAACCGATGAATCATCATCTGGCTAGCGGATTCGGCTGACTGCCTCCAGGATATCATATTCCCATATTTATATTGATATCGTATACTTTATTATTATGAGGCGCCTTCCCCTGGAGCGATCCATTTCCCTTCGGATTTTTATTGATGGTAATTTTTCCATTCACATTTTGGACTTAAAGAGAAAGATTGTTAAAGTTAGGCTTTTGAAAGCATGCTTCATTATTTATATATATTGATTATTTATACTTTTGTGCAATACGATGTATAAAACGTAAGAATGTGCTGTAAATGCTCATCGTGGTCATCAGCATTGATGGTAATCAGCATCATTAATTAAATTAATCTCACTTTTTGTTAGGGTCGCCTCACTCTTTCGGAACAGAAAGAATAATCGCCATTTCAATAAATATACTGGTGATAAAGTACCGTTACCCGCTGCATTATTTCGCTCACAGTCACGAGAACACCTCCAGGTGCAGCATCGTGATGAGTTTCTTCACAAGCGGTCATTAGCATGGAGTAAACGGTTATGCCGGTCACCTGGATTGCAAGGAATGGAATTTGCTCTCTCGCACCAGGTGACTTGAAGGCCCAGCAGGGAGAAGCAAAGCTCCAGCCAGGCGAGGCAAAGGTACAAATGGGTGACCCGAAGCCTCAACAGGGAGAGGCGAAGCCACAGTCTGGCGACCGCAAGGGCAAGCAGGGAGAGGCATGTGCTCAGCTCAACGGCGAACGTGGCAGAGGAGGAAGCAGTTGTTTGACTCCTGAATCGTACCAAAACGTAAGAATTCGACATCTAAACTTCCTTCCCAGCATCCAAAGAATGTGGGAAATTCTCCTGCTCCGAAAGTAGAGCCCGAAAAACATGGAATTCCGAACGTAATTGCGTCCGAACGCGACATGCAGCAAGAGCACCAGACTAGCTCATATCAACGGATGGAGGATGTCAGGAAGCGGGCAACTGGATGAGGAAGAGCGAGTGTCATCTGCGCGGCCTGGTTCTCCTTCTCCCATTCATTTCACACCTCCCTCCCTCCTACCTCGGTTTATCAAATCCCCAAGGTGCAAATCCCCGGATTCGCACGTGCTAATCAGGAGAGCCGCCAGGAAAAGGAAACGAAAGGGAAAGTGATAGCAGCTGGGAAGCGGCGAGGGGGGAAAACAATGGAATTTATGCAGGATTCATAATTAGCTCATCCATATTCATGGGACACCTGCGCGGTGGTCAATATTGACTTACGGATTTTTTTATTTTCAGGAATTTTTGGGGCATACGTTTTCTCCCAAGTTTCCCCTTTTTCAAATCCTTCCACCCATTTTTGGCACTCCCTTTTCTCTCGGTCGGACGTGTCACGGCATCATGAGGATGCTGTAAAAGAGATTTTCCAGGAGAAACCTTTCTTAGCAGCCCAGGTAAGTCCCTGATTCCGTGAACAGTGAATGGACGGCGAACACGAACGAGGGAGACCCGGGGCAGCTCGCGTGGCAGCTCACTCGAGCTGCCACCAGGCAAGGCAACAGGGATGAGGTCGGACGATGAACGCATCCCCGAAATCCCGTCGCGTCTCGTATCTCATCGCGTCCGTTTCTCCGGACTCGACGTGCTCCACGGCACACGACTCGCGATGGCGTCAGGGCCGCAATCAGGAAATTCCGGAAACATGCGCGACGGGTGGCGATGCGAATAGCGTGAGGCAGTCAATATAAGCCGCGCGTCGTCCTACAAGGCGACGATTTAAGTGGCTTGCCCTTCGTCTTCCCACGGCTTCTGTTCCCCGGTCCTTTGCAGTGACGATTGGCGAAGCGCAGGGGCAGACCGTCGAATTAACCTTTTGCTTCGTCTTGTCTTCTCACACTGCCGGCTGGCAGTGTGAGAAGAGTGTGGCGATCGCCTCTCGTGCGCTTTCATTCCCTTGAAACGCGTTCGTATTTAAACCCAAGATAGGGAATATTTTGCTGCCTGTAGGTCGAGTTCGGCGAACGCTATGAGGCCCGGCGGGTTGCATATCTGCAAGGAAACACACATGGGACAGGTTTCATCCTTCGATGCAACCCGGCGAGCTACGAGGCTCTCGACTCCACAAACAGGCGGCGGAAAGGTTCCTGGAGATCCGTGCTTTTGCACGGGCTACTCGCGCGTGTATGCAAATTCACACGGAAATGCACGCGAAGGGATTTTCGTTATTGCAAGCTCGGTTTTCCGCAGATTCGTCGCATCGGAATCGCGGGGATTCCGGATGCGAGTGGCAGTCGAGACTCTCGTCGGAAAAGAGAACGGTTTTGGTTAGGAGTATAAACCTCCAACAGTGATTCATTCGATCCGCACAAATGCACCATGGTGTCGATTCCCTCCATAGTTTCGCCCGAAATGCAGCTTTGGTTCCTTCTCTGGATGAACGTTGCGGTCGCATTAACGTTCTCCGAACTGACAAAAATAAGCATCCAAAATAGGACGGAGTAAACCCGCGATATCTGCAAAGAATATCTGCAAATCTGATATCTGCAAAGAATATCAGCAAACGAAAATTTTGATCCGAGTAGACCTTGTACCTCGTATTACATGTAGAAGTGCATATACAAGGTGTGCCAAGAGTAGGTACACAGTTGCATGTCTGAACTACGTAAAAGAGAGAAACGCATATAAATGGTAATCCCTTAGATGCTGAAAGAGTTTGCCCTCAGTGTTCACACATTCCTGGAGTCTGTCTGCCACACTGCGGCACAGTCACAAAGATTTTTGCCTTTGATTCTACTGCATTAACTACCTGCTAATAAAAATGAAAATAAAAACAAAATCGGCAACTGTATACGTACTTTTGGCACACCCCAAATACATCCGCACACTCATCAAATTGCAAACTAATTTTTTGCAGGTATCTTACGGGGATTTCCCAAAGCAATTATGGACCATTCTTTATTATCAATATGATTATCAATGATCAATATGATTAATTCCATGCCAGTCTGCGCACTTTTTTTTCTCGACCCCTTCCAATTTCAATGAATCTCGGCATGCTGATTGTACCTAATGAGAAGACAAACTACATCAAATTTCAGCTCCATGCATTATGTATTCTAAGAATGATAGCCAATCAAATATTCCACCATTTTGGGGCATTTTTGTCCCTGGAATCACAAAAATTGTCATAACTCCGATATTAATACCGGTAAATACATGAATATGATAGTGCTGCAAAGGATTTGAAATTCCCTATCAGATGATGTGCAACACATGGTGATGAAAGCCTTGCCATAGGTGTCTTTTAATGAACTTGATATTTGTTTTGACCTGGACCTCAATTCCCACACTCGATTTCGCTGAAATCCCAGGAACTCATCTGTCATGGTTTCATTTATGTACACAGAAACTTTCGCTTTGGGGTTTTGCTTATCAACAGAGATATGGGCATTTTTGTGAGTGATCTTCAAAACATGCGCTGATAACACACAACACCAGTGCTACGGGTTCGTGCCTGCGCTTCCCTTATTAGTAATAACCTGTCCTAATCGTTTCGAATCAACGATATATCAGTTTACGGAGCATGTACCATGTCTTACGCAGACGAAACTTAAACTTCCTTCCCATTTTCTGCAGAGGAATGTACCATCGCGAGTAAGTGCTCGGTCGGTCGGACACAAGAAAGGCATTTTGGGAGCCCTTCTGAGTAATTCGTGAATCTGGGGGTTCGATATCTATTTATTCTAAAGGGTTTTCACAAGTCATGCATTCCTCTCTCCTAGAGCTGTCAGGTGGATGCGTTATTCGGATAGGCACTTGCTCGCTGGGCGGGAGGGGGGTATACGAAACATTGAATACATAATACATAGAGCTGAAATTTGATGTAGTTTGTCTTCTCATTAGGTACAATCAGCATGCCGAGATTCGTTGAAATTTGAAGGGTTCGAGGAAAAAAGGGTGCAGACTGGCATGGAATCACCCAAATCCGAATGTGCATGAGCCTGAATTCCCTTACAAATTGAAGATGTGAATGTAATATCAGATTCTTTCTCCTTGCAGGCAACTTCCCAAATGGAAACACATCAAGTTATCATATCAAGAAAAATATCATTCGTTTGCCTCTGTCCCAGCCTTCAAAAGCGACAGTCTGGAAGTACTCTACCTCAATGGGAATAAAATCTTAAATGTGGAGTTTGACGGATGGGAAACTCCCAAATTGGGGACACTATGGCTCACGCACACTTTGTTAACCGCTGTCCCAGCCATTAAGAGCGACAGTCTGGAACACGTCTACCTCTATAATAATAGCATCACGAATGTGGATTTCAGCAGATGGGCAACTCCCAAATTGAGGACGCTCTCGCTCACTCACAATTTGTTGACCTCTCTCCCTGCGTTCAAGAGCGACAGCCTGGAAGGACTCTACCTCTATAATAATAGCATCACGAATGTGGATCTCAGCAGATGGGCAACTCCCAAATTGAGGACACTCTCGCTCACTCACAATTTGTTGACCTCTGTCCCTGCATTCAAGTGCGACGGCCTGGTACGTCTCAACCTCGACTCAAATAAAATCACGAATGTGGATTTCGACGGAATGGAAACTCCCAAATTGAGTGTACTCCAGCTCCAGAACAATATGTTGACCACAGTCCCAGCCATCACGAGCGACAGCCTGGAAGAACTCGACTTGTATAATAATAATATCATTAACGTGGATTTCAGCAGATGCGCAACTCCCAAATTGAGGACACTCTCGCTCACTCACAATTTGCTGACTTCTGTCCCAGCCTTCAAGTTCGACAGCCTGGAATACCTCTCCCTCGACTCAAATAAAATCACGAATTTGGACGTCGACAGAAGGGAAACTCCCAAACTGATCGTACTCTCACTCAAGAACAATTCGCTGACCGCTTTCCCAGCCATCAAGAGCGACAGCCTGGAACGTCTTGAACTCGAATCAAATAAAATCACGAATGTGCAGTTCGACAGTAGGGAAACGCCCAAATTGAGTTCGCTCTCGCTCAGAAACAATTCGCTGACCTCTTTCCCAGACATCAAGAGCGACAGCCTGATGCATCTCTACCTCGATTTTAATGAAATCACGAGTGTGGAGTTCGACATATGGGCAACTCCCAAATTGGGTTTGCTTTCCCTTAACAACAATTTGTTGACCTCTGTTCCAGCCTTCAGGAGCGACCGCCTGTGGCATATTTCTCTGAATTTTAATAAAATCACAAATGTTGAGTTCGACACATGGGCAACTCCCAAATTGGGTTGGCTCTATCTCAACAACAATTTGTTGACCTCTGTCCCAACATTCAAGAGCGACAGCCTGAAAAGAGTCGAGCTTGATTTTAATAAAATCACCAGAGTGGTGTTTGACAGATGGGAAACTCCGAAATTAAGGATACTTTCGCTCACTCACAATTTGTTGACCTCTGTGCCAGCCCTCAAGAGCGAGAGCCTGGAGGAACTCTATCTCGACTGGAATAAAATCACGAATGTGGAGTTGGACGGTTGGACAACCCCGAAATTGAGGAAACTTTCGCTCACAAACAATTTGTTTACCTCAGTCCCAGCCCTCAATGATAACAGCCTGGCTTTCAGAACATCTGTGCCCATATTTGCGGAAAGTTCTGGTGAGTTGGAGAAATTTAGGATTTCTTCGATAATCCGTAATGTAGAATTGTCAGTTTCTTCGGCCCTGCGTCCGGTCTCGCCCCTTTCCCCATGCTCTTGCTCATGCTCATGCTCATGCTCATGCTCATGCTCATGCCCTTGCGCCCATCCGTCGGGAAGGAAGGAAATATCCTATTCTGTACTGGTGGACGGGTAATGCCTCCCTCGAAAGCCGATGCCGATTCAACTTTGCGACACTTCTACCCCCCTTCCTTCGTGGGTGCTGCCTGACGCCCCTTTTTTTCTGGCCGGATTCTTTTTTCTGGCCGGACTCCAGGCGCATTTCTTTCCGTATCGCCTCGATCGTGGTTTTAATAATGCGAGTTGAGACTTCGCGTAATATTGGTAGAGGAAGAATTTCTGAATGATGCTCTCGAATCGACTAGGACGATGAGAGGAAAACTTCATCTGGTACCTTAATCGCTGGCGTTAATTACCTGATACTTTTTCCTAATTAGGGATTTCAACAATATTTTCCGTTGATGAAGTTGACTTGAATATGGTTACATTGGGAATAGCAATTGACTTGCATGCTAGAGCAATTGACGTGTGCGCCAATCCATCATTTAATTATTTAATGCCCTCTCCACAACAATTTCTCCCCGTCTATTCCAGATTCTTGGGCTCCCACGTTGCGCCTTCAAAATAACTCGATAGCCACAATCGACGGGTGGATCCTTCACCGAATCCTGAAGGAATTTTCCGAGGGAGGCGGTTTGCTTCGTCTGGAAGGTCAGCTTTTTTCTTCTTTCGCCTTTGGAATTATTAAAGCCTTCGTTATTATTAAAGTCTCAAAAAATTCTTCGTCTCTCCTTCGTTCCAGGCAATCCCATTCGGTGCGACTGCAGTCTGTCCTGGTTGGCGGTCTCTCCCGAACTGATGGGGAAAACGAAAGGGGCATGCGAGAATGGGATCGGCTTGAAATACCCCGATCTGATGGAATCCCTGAAAAAATGTCACGGCGACGCCACGACGAGCCCAAGCCGAACTCGGTGTCTCGACGGCGTCGGAGATCGAACCTGCATCGATCTGCCTCATGCTTTCGTGTGCGACGAAAAAACTCTCGACACTTCCCTTGCCTGTCCGAAAGAGACTCAAGTTTGCTGCAAGAAGCGCGTGAGTCTCGATTCGGCCGTGCATACCCTATTACCGGCTACCCTATTACCCTATTACCTATAGGTTACCTATTACCTATTACCGGTTGCAGGCAAATGTGACCGGCTGTGGACAGCTTCCTGGCATCATGCACGGACGCTTCAGTATTTATTCTTGCTCGTCTGATGGGCGGAGGTAGGATTGTTCAAAAACATGATCTCGTGTTTTCTCCATTAAAAAAGACTTTTTCCTTTCGTTTTTCATGAAAATGACATTTGAATAGATACATTTAGATGCTTGCACGATCACCATGGGATTCATATAACATTTTGGTGCATCTCAGTGTGGTACTTTGGCTTATGTAAAAAAAAAAAAAAATCCATTACAAATTGTGCCACAAAACTTGCTACATACATTAGAGGATCTATCCTACTCATCCGTCTATTAGGAGCCACATGGAATTGGAATATTGAAAATTTGACAAAAGCTTTCCTTTCTTTCAGTTACAAAAGTAAAAGGAGATGCATTCAAGGCGGGAAATACCTCATCGGAAGCAAAGTGAACTACACCTGCGAGAACTATTATATTCTAAGGGGTCCAAGCGTTCGAACGTGTGAAGGGACCGGTGAATGGACCGGTGAATGGACCGGCCCTGACCCATTCTGCGAACCTGGTCCGTTTTTTTCCCTCTGAGAAATCGCTTCCATATGGTCGATTCGGATTCGATGACGGATTTGCGTGTTGGATCCTCCTGTGCATCTAGAGTGCGGCCGAATGGAAAAACTCGGTGCTCCCGCTCGGGG